CCGCCGCTGCTGCGGGTGTATTGACCGCCGTCGATGAGGACTCTGATGACGATGAAGAGGCTCCGGTACCTAAGGAATTCGAGTACTTCACTGATGCTGGAGAGGACGATGACGATGACGAGTAGGTATGAATATGTCTCAGAACAGTTCAAAAGCGAGGTCGATACTGTGGGGATAGTTGGATTGTACACTTAGAAGGCAGATCAAGCGAATAGAGCGGGTACGGGGCTAAGGCTAATGTACAATATGCCCAGGGACGATGTATTCACTTAGCTGAGAATAGAAGTGGGTGGTCTACCGCCAGTGATATTATTTTGTCATCAACTCGATTAGAGAATGGTTGTTACACTCTGATGCAAGTCATTGTTCTAGTAATTGTACTCATCGTGCGTTTGGCTGTAACAAACGCCATTCATCGTTCTCCCAGTAATAACCCCATTCGCCTGCTCAAACTCTAACCATAACTATAAAACCAAATGCCATGCTATTCACTCAAATCTACGCTTTTGTTTCTGACCCCGTAGGACCATCATCACAGATCCTCATCCGATGCCACGCCGTAGCAAGATTACCGCGAATATTCCATGTTGCTGCGTGACTTTCTGGTTGTGTGTTGTACGCCTCGTCTGTAGCTTTCACAACGAACGTCGCACATCGCTTCCCGGATGCTGCAGGCTCAAAGGCCTCCAACGGGACAGCACCGTCAAACTTCCATCGCCGCCATGCCCAGGCTGCGTGACCGAAGCAAGGTGATTGCTCGCCGTCTTTCGTGGAACAGTCGGGAAGAATGGAGGCTTGAGACCAGTTTTTGCCGTTATCGAGGGAGATGTCGACACGGACGATGGCACGGCCTCCACCGGAGTATGCGTAGCCAGCCAATGAAGCTGGTTTTGTGTAAGTGTGAGAATTTTCATCCTTGGCTGTCCAATCGCCAAGTTTGCACGTTGTAATGGCGCTCTGAACAGGTAATTCTTGAATGGCGGGTGCCGAATCCCAGTCGACTTTTGTCTGGTTCGGTCCAAAACACTTGTAATCGCGTCGCTGCCACTGCGATGTGCTCTCCTCGTCGCTAAGCGTGACATGGTTCAACCACTTGACAGATCGTGCAGCAACATGTCCAGGAACAATAGCTCGTAGAGGAAATCCATGATCGCGCGGGAGAGTCTGGCCGTTCATTCTATAGGCAAGTATCACGTCGCCTTGGGGATCAATGGCCTTTTTGATAGGAATCGATGCACCGTAAGCTTCTAAGCCGTTGAACTGAACATGCTTTGCCTCAGATTCTCCTGTGAGGCCTGAATGCAGGTCAAAGCCAGCATCTGCCAGGACGTCAGAGAGCAAGACGCCTTCCCAGCAGGCGTTTGAGATAGCTCCAGCAGTCCATGGAAGACCATTTGTTTTGCGACCTGATTCTTCATTCATGTGTCGCCGGCGGTTGCCAGAGCATTGAAGAGAGGCTGTGACTTTGTGAGATTTGAAGCGGTTCTTGAGGTCCGCGAGGGTGTACTCTTTTGTGGTCCCGTCAGGAAGCTCTATCGTGAGACTGTGATCATTTGGGTCCTCGGCGATTGTCGGCACCCACATGTGGTTGCGCACGTAGAAAAGGTCATTAGGTGTAAGAAAGTCATTCGTCATAGCATACGTCGGCGTCTCTGCGTTTCTGGGCTTCTGCGTCATCGTAATCAAGTCTGGATGTCGAACTGGATCATCCGCGAAAGGATCTTCAATCTCTTCTCGCGCCGGTCGTCCATCAACAAGATCCGCCGGGTCAACGTACCCAATTAGGTACTGATTTAAAATATCGTAAACATAATCGTTCTTGTGTATAGAAAAGATGTCCCAGTAGGGATCAATGGAACCGCCCGCAGCGCGAAGGATAACATCGCCGCCGGGATGTGCGCCTATCCATTCTGTGATATCGTAGACTTTGTCGCGGTGGATGACCCAGGGGTGATCAGAATGAGCATCGTGTTTGCGAACTTCGTTGATGCGATATCGAGGAAGCGAAGGATCTCGAGGATCATGGTCGTTTTCGTCATGGGAGATGGCATCGCATCGTGTAGGCGATTGTTGCGCGAAGCTGTAGGCGAGGTAGAAGGAGGCTGCTCCAGCGAGGAGAACTGCGAAGGAAGTGCTTGGATCTCTCGATATCGTCGCAGACTTATTAGACGCGGGAGGTTTTGTCTGTGCAGATCTTGTAAGTCGTGTTGCGATGAAGGTACGAGATTGTGCCCTCGCTGGAGCTTGTGATGCAGGGGTAGATAAGGATCGTAGGGGTCGTAGCTGGCTGGCCAAGCGCCGTGTTGATCGCGAGAACATGGCTACAGAAGAATTAAGAGAGTCACTTCAAAAAATGAGCAACAACGCATCGCCAAAAACACTTTGTGAGTGTTGTCGCAAACGAAACAAATCTCTAGTAGACGTCACAGTGGACTACAGTTAGATGGATCTCTAACAAAAATGACGTTGGGGAATATCTCGGAGAACAATCATCAAAACTGTGAGATGAAGAATCTCACTTTATACAAGCCCTTCTCTATTTCATGATATGCCAGCGGTGAGCAACGTGACACGTGAACAGCAAGAACGAGTCAGAAGAAAGCAATTAATCAAGGTAGGTACCTGAGATGCCGAGACAAGCATCGTGACTTCTCTTGAGGTTCAGAGCATGGACATTATTTTGGTCGCCGATCAAATTGCAATCGCCGACTGTCTGTTATTAAAGTTACGTCACTTGACACATGACAAGAGGATCCTATTGGTCGACACGCCGAAAGACGCCCGAAATGGAAGGTAACTCCCCTGGAGGTGCTACGGCTCAGTGATGGGACCCCTGTAATCTTCTGCAGCCACTTTTAAGCGGCACAACTGCCGGTCAGTGAAATGTTAGTAACCTCGTATCAATCCCCGACGACAAAGACATCGATACGGCTTATTTTCTCCATTAGATGGACAATTCCAGCGCAGTAACTTTGATGTCGACCCTTCTAGTGTTAATGGATCCTATCGAACTTAATATCGTTTTGGACAATACGCTATCAGCAACCAGACTTGTTGTGTCACGGCACGGAAACAAGTCTTCATGTACTGTGCGTGTGTAAGTTGCACAGATGCCAATCGCCGGGAACTTGTGCTTGGCCGTTCGTTGGCCAAGACAATTTTCTGTTCCTCGACAAATATGGAAAGAGATCTGATGCTCCTCTTGATTCTTGAGACTGTTGGCTTGTTGCCTGGTCTGTCGTGCGTTTGTTTGCCCCTTGCTCAGTAATTGTAGTGTGTTGATGGCCCTCACATAGACCTGGGATCGCTTGTGTTTGATGGTTGGTTCACTTGAACTAGATTGATGTTGATCTGCGGACATATTGAAGAACTCAGTTTCTCTAATCCCGCACAAGAGGGAGATTAGTTATCATTATCGTTCTGGTTATATATCCCCCCCGGTGCCAACATGTTGAATAAGTCCCATTCAAGTAGCGACGGAGGGCCAAAGCCACATATGTGAAGTGGAAAGGTTTCGCTCCTGGATTTGTGGCATCTCCTCTGCTTTATATAGGTAGCCCATGTGCAAACGTTGTCCTAAGGCACATACCATATACTTTGCAGCAACTTCACTCTGTAAACTATGACAAAGATACCTACCAACAGGTCTTATCTTCTTCACGAGATGAAAGATATCAGCACTCAAATAAAGATGCCGGATTTTAAACGCCGTGAGGAATGCCATTGAACTAAATAATGTGTTGAACAATACTCTTAATCACCAGCTCTATTATATTATGCTTTGCATGTCCTGACTAAGTTGCACCCTCTTTCAGGGTGAGCCAGGTATACACACCCAATATAAGTATCAGATTTTAAAGAACTTTTGGGGCAAACCCTTACCTGCAGCGCATATAAATTGCAACTCGGGTCCAACTCAGAAGATAAATCTCTTCCTCTTCATCAGATGTGGTTCCTACCCGGATTCGATGTTTTCAGCATCCGTCGCTACAGTATGGCTCATTAGATTGGGGAACAGGGGGTCAGAACAATGATGATGAACCAATCCTTCAGTCAGAGTTGATTCTTTTCTTCTTCGAACAGGATTAGAGATGCTAAGTTCTTCAAAATACTAGGCATCGGTTTCTCTATTTAAACAGTAAAAAAATGCCGATTCAATACTGACCCGAGGTCGGGTCAGCGTACTCTCCCCTTTACGCCTTTATTCTAGGATTAACGGGAGTAGCCAATCACGCGACCGGTGCTCGCTCATCCTATATCGATGCCAATCGCCCGAGACTTATCCTTTACTTATCGTCGAAACAAACATGAAAGGAGATCAGATAATCTTCTTAACTACTGGCATGTGGCCTGGCCGTGCTGTTGCACGGTCCTGATGCCTCGATCTGCCTCATCTAAATAGTAGGCCAGACTGCACCATTCACTACCTATACCTATGGAGTAGTGCGATGTCTTTTACGGCCATCAGATAGCGGGGTCTTGTGTTTAACAGTTCACTTGAACCAGGATATACACGCAGATATTTCTGAGAACTCAGTTCCATTAATCCCAAATAAAAGGATTAGTTATCATCATAATTCTGGCCCAACCCAGTTATGACTTGCATTGGTTTCCCAAGGAAACACATCTGTGTTAAGTCAAAAGATTTAAGTCTAGATTTAAGTGACACCAACCGTCCAGTAACTTTACTCTACAAACGTCCTTATAATAATTCAGTTAAATTCACGCTACATACAAACCTTCAATCCCCTCCCCCCCGCCCCCCCAAAGGCGATCTCATTCTGGTTAATGGATATAAGTGATCAGGCACACATCATTCGCAAAAGAGGAAAAAATCAGCAAAAAACATACAACACCGGGGATTCGCTGGTCGTCACCGACCCAACTACTAATCCAGCGCTTCGCAGCTTGACTATGGGAGAGCGGACGGGATCCCGTATTTTCTACGAGCTTTGGTCGTATGTAATAGATGTAGATGATGCAATGGTATATATCCATGAGCGATAACTCATGGTAGAGCTCAATGGCCGTGGCCAGAACTTGATGTGTAATCTTGACCACCTACATTCACCGGCTGGCCAGGCAGCAGATAAACCTTTCCTTTCTATTCCTGCTGAAACTCTACAGTGCATTACGTGCTCAGCAGTGTCTCGATCCAAGTCTACTCTCCATCACCGAAAACTCTCTATTGACCTCCGAGATTCTACCAGCCGAACCCATCGATCAACCCCCAGCATGTTCTTCTAGCAAGTCTAATCTCCCGAAAGTAAGTTAACCAAAGGGTGGTTTTCAACCGGTACAAAGTCTCCAAAAACATCACACGTGTACCCAGCATTAGTCGCCGCCATCACATCCATCAAAGCCACCAGAGTCAGTGTGACCGTAATCATGAGAATGCGACCCATGATGATAGCTGTGGGAGTTGCTATGACTGTGGCCATAGCTATTGCTATGGCTACGGCCGGACGAGAACCAACGGTTGTGACCGGCAGAAGTAGAACTTGAACCAGCGCCGTGATGGTGGCTTGTCGAGCTAGAACCCGCCGTCTGGGTGGACGAATCTCCGTGGTTATGAACACCCAAAGCGTTATCATGTCGGGTAGCCCCTGAGCCGGCTCCATGAACAGGAGTAGCTGTAAAGCCTTCGTCGTCTTTGCCAGGGTCAATATGATCTGGGTCTACGCCGACCTCGGTGACTTGAGGGAGACCGCTCGTATCAATGGCCTTGCCTTTGGACTTCTTCTTTTTCTTCATTGTCTCTGAACCAAGGGCCTTCTTAGGCAGCCAGTTATCACCAAATCTCTCAGTGGACTTCCCACTCTCGATTCTTTCGAACAGTTCGATGCCGTTCTGATCCGACTTCTTCACAGCGCGCTGGTTGTCCTTGGAGCGGAAGAGATTCGTAGATTTGATCCATAGTCGCCTCACGTTGTCTTTGCTACAGACCAGACAAGGCAGACAGAAAAGTAGTCGAAGAAAGTTTCGACAACTTTTCTTGTCTTCCCTGAACTCGCCAGTGCGTCTCTTGTTAAGAAGATCGCGGAGTATCATTCCCAGGAAGAAGGCGAAGATAGCTACAAGAATTACCAATGCGGTGATGCCCTCCTTGTCGGCTTTGAAGATCGGATGGTCTTGGGCTTTGGCGGTGATGTTATTGGTCGAGTTTCCGGCGGGCGATGCTTGTGTTGGCATGATTACGTTGATTATGACGCTCGAAGCTGATGGATGGATCACGACCTTGGTCTCGATGACCGATGTGGAGGGAGCGGCCATGATGACCACGGAGATCAAGTTGGATGAAAGTGATATCTGCTAAGCTTGGAGGTCACGAAGATCATAGAATCATGAAAGACGGGAAGACTGAAGGATGGACGGAGAGAGGAGTTGAAGTCGAAGGAGAAGAAAGATATAACTTGTTTTAAAGATGCTTTCCCTCATGCCAAAAGGTTGTTTCAAACTTTATGAGAATTGGATATTGCGCGCACGAAAGCTTCGTGTTTAGGAAGAGTTACTTTGACGGAACTCACCACGTTCTGCCAGGGCTGAAGAAGTCAAGTACAGCTAGCTTCATAGACTTCCATCTTCTTCTAGAAGTCATCCCGATTTAGACATCTTGAGAAGTCACGATAGTCTTTGGCCACATTGACTTCTGACGAACCACCCTGAGGAATGAGCCTTTCGTTATGGTGTTTTTCACTTCCAGGGCTGAACTAAGATGCCTTCCACGACAGCTTTCAAGCATCCATTATTGGCATGTCGCCGACTTGATGGTCAAAGAACCGGCCACGTCTTCTGTTTTTGAGATATGGTGAAGTGAAAAGTGATTTGAACGATAAAGTATATCATTTTTGACTTTCATGCCTCAGTTAAAGCATACAATGTAATGTATAAAGTGTAAGGAGGCAATACGATAGCGGGTCTTACCATCAAGTGATAGGAAAATTAGAGAAATAATTTCTAAATAAACATTAAGAAGAATAGATGGTAGAAAATGAAGAAACGACAGGATACCTCAGGTCAATAAGCCTGTAACTTCCCGTTGTCATAGTAATGTACTGACAGTAGACTACATGAATCGTACCTTAGGGATTGCCTAACCTGTACTTAACTCCTACTAGATGTCTTATTTGCAAGTCACCAGACGGACCAAAGTTTATCTCTGCGCAAAACTTTAGTACAAGAAACGACGACTTGTTTAGTAATCCCTCACATCTTGGACCTCACATTGTTTAATTACCCATCCCTTGTGATCCAATCTGTATAGAGAAATGGGTAAAGTCGGTGCCGGTGCCAGGGCAGTGACCGCGACAGTGCCACCGCAATGGCGACTCCAGTATCATCATCACCTTCTATATCGCCCTCCACATCCGCAACCTCCCTCCTCCGTCGCGTCGCTTCTATCAAGACCAAAAATGACATTTCTGAGCGTCTCGAGACTCTGAGGATGAGTGCGTCTCCAGTCTTTACCTCTGCATCATAAATACAACATCGAGCTCGACTGACTTCATAATGCCCCTTCAAGCCAGTGCGAAAGCGCGCACAAGAAGTGTTTCCAATCCTTCATCTTGGAGGAATCGCTCGCAGCCTCCTACGCCTATTTCTACTGTGTTTCCCGGGCTGGGTGTGTCGCAGAGTGCGCATCGCCAAGGGCTTCCGGCTTGGGATCGGACACTTGATGCTGTGTATCACGGTGCTTTTGAGAAAGGAAGTTTCGAAAAGGTGCTTAATTCTTTCTATGAGAATCATGCGAGAGAGAAACCAAATTCTGGCTATTTTCGACTGCCTGATTCTGTGCGGTACCGGATCTGTCGCTATCTACTTTCGCCCTGCGACAAGCCCCTGCGTTTAAACAAACATGCACTTAGCCGTGATGTTTGGCGCAAAGAAGACTTTGAGTCACCTTCATCAACATTACTGCAAATCTCCTCTTACTCTGAAGTATCTTTCGCCTTTCGCGCGGACATTCTTGTCGCATTTCTGCAAAACACAAAACTACACACCGTCTTGTCACCATTCACTGGACCGAGAGTGAGTCCACTTGCAACAACATGGCTCAACAACTACGGAATGTACGCAAAGAACATCGTCATAGAACTTGACATGACTCATCTAGGCTGCGGCTCTGATCCTGGGGCTGTAGGGCTGTCGCCAAACGTCGAGCAGATCGAGAAACTGCTCCAAGATTTCATCAATGCACAAATGAAGCGCAAGGAATCATGCCCCATGGAGAGTCTAGTCCTTCTCTGTCGACGTTTCCACGGAAGACGACCCCCAAGAGCCATCGCCGAGCCACCTCGCGCCATCAGTAGTCGACCAGGCTCACGCTCGGCATCACGATCAGCATCGCGAAGCGCCAAAACACCAGAGCCGTACAGTCCAACAGCGTCAACGCCCCGACGATTCGACTTCGAAGAAGACGCTGGAGGCCTACGAAGTCCGACTTTACCCGATATCCTCAGTCCAACTTATCCAACTGCATCACTCGTCGAAGAGTATTGTCCCGACTCGTACCTCCTTTTCTGCAACAACGTCCTCCATCTCAAGGGTCGCATCGGTTCGGTCCGCATGTGCGGTTTCAGCGAGGAGTACACAGCGCGATTCATGGGGACACTGTTCTCGAATAACAGCAAGATCACAAAGAGCTACGCATACCGCGTTGCGCCATCGACGATATGGCCTAAGCTAGTCGGTCAGAAGTCCTACGTTGATATTGGCGATGGGAATATTTCTCTCGACGATCACGAAGTCTCCGCTACCAACGACATTCCCAGCTCTTTGCGCATCTGGGAGGGTTGCGTGCAGCTTCCTCCGCCCCAGATCGATGCAAGCGGAGATTTGCTACTCCCCGCCATCGTGGGTGATTTGCAGAAGCTGAGGAGCACTTATGCGAGAAGTGCGACTAGCTTGTCGGAACGGACATGTGAGGATCTCAGAAAGGATGGTTCGAAGGGCGATACGTTGGACAAGAGGACGATTGCGTGGTTCAAGAGCAATTACGGCAAGGGGAAGCTCAAGAAGAAGAAGAAGAAGAAGAGGGTATTGAGCAGAGATGCTGCTACCACGTATTAACCCGACATGTGGCTGAAAAATGGAGGGCAAATGATGTGTACGATTATTTCAACGATGATTATGACAGGCCGTTTAGATTCATCAGGTCATACAAGCACGCCTCTTGGTGCCATCTAGAGAAATAAAAGAACTCTAACTAGACTCCGCCTTTTCATGGACAAATATCCTCACTGCTTTTGTAAAGACTGTCAAAAGTTAGCAACAAACCCTCAAACTGAAGTAGATGTGGACGGGTGGTAAACTTACGATCGCAAACTTGCTTCTCACTCGAATTCGACTTCCAAAGAATACCAAGACCCACGGAATAAGTGTCAAAACTGAAGCAATACCACCCAACACACAACCTGCGTTTCTCAAACCAAGATTGTCAAACATGAAGCTGGTCAATACAGGGAATATACCACCAAGCACATTGCGACAGAAACTCTGTGCGGCAAGAGCTGAAGAGGCATACATGTGATAGGTATCAGCGAGATAGTTGAACGTGGCAAGGTAGACAGAGTAGATGCCCCAGTTCGCAAAGCCAATACCAATAGCTTGTGTATAGTGACTCGTGCTTATCGGACTCAAGAACGCGACAAACAAACCAGCTGGGAGCAGAAGAGCAGTGAGACAGGAAAAGTAAAGCCGAGCCTCGGGAGAATCAGCAGGGAAATGCTTCCTCATAAATCGCCAGAAGCGAGAAACCTCCTTCTCATCAACGTGTCCGCTCCAAAGAGGATGTTTCATCAAGTTCTCTTGAAGAATACCAACTACGGTGGCAATGATAGCAGATGCCATCATTGCAACGTAGATGCGCATCGACATATTGTAGTTGTCGGAGTACAGATATGGTACGATGGAGAAGGAGAGGTAAAGCACAGCCCAAGAAAATGCAGCCCAGAGAGAAAACGAAAAGACGACTGGCTCTGTGAATAAGAGATAGAAGGGTCTCATGATAGAGGTAGCCATCATTTGTCGAAGAGGAGGTCGTTGTTCATCGGCTTCAACGAGCCATCGAATTCTTCGTAGTTGTGTTTGTCTGTTGTACTCGAGCATCGTTTCGTGTCCTGGCATGGTCTTGACACTTGATGATGACGAGCTGCTTGTATCTTCTCGAGGGTCGGTCACCCAAACTCCATAGACACCTGCATCCTCGAGCTGTTGATACCACTGGTTCAACTTTTTAGCTTTGCGTGACAACAAAACCGAGCCTCGCGTCTCTTTGAACAAGATCAAGATGGCAACCAGCAACAACCCATCGAGAATAACTTGGTGCCAGAACGACCATTTCCAAGCCATCGTATCGTCCTCAAGATCGTTGACGAAAGCAGCAGACACCAACGGTCCAAGACCTGTTCCAAACAGCACAAAGCCACTGAAAAGAGCCATGGGCGTATTTCTCTCCTCCTTCTCCCACAGATCAGCGATGACACCGCCAACGACCGAACTAAAGACAGAACCGCCGACTCCAACAAAAAAGCGAGCGATCAACATGCCAGCCAGATTCGGCATAACAGAGCAGACAGCTTGGGAGATGACGAATACAAAACCAGCGAGGATAAAAACAGGACGTCTGCCCCAGATCTCAGAGATGGGAGCGAGTGCCATAGGCGCAATAGCGAAACCAGCACAGAAAGTCGTGATGCCGACGAGTGTAGCTGTATGACTTGCCCCGATATCTCTAGCCATTGCTCTTGAGGGTGGCGAGTAGGTACCAGCAGTGTATGCCGTCAGCATTGTCGCGATGCACGAGAGCGCGAGGAAGATGTTTTTGCGTGCTCGCGGCAACGTGAAGGGAGAAGCGTAGGGTCGAAGATCCGGGCATGGTGGGACATTTTGTGCAGAAGTTGAGTCTGATGAGGGTGGTGATGGGAGGGGAGTGTCGAGTGTTAGATATAGATAGGATATAGGGTCTTCACTACCAAGATTCGGTTGTGTTGATGAAAGCGGGAGGGTGCTGGGTCCAATCTCAAGATCGTCATTGTTCTGAACGGAAGCACCCGCAGTCTGAACCATATCTGATTCCTTCATATCGATAGTTCGTGATAGTTAATATCCAGAAACCAACAAGTTATACTGTAGCGATAATCCAACGACATCCGAATATTTCACCAGACACACAGCGGTGAGAGAAGAAGAGCGAAATGAATGGGAAACATAAGGGCGGATTATGATTACAATAAGAATAGGACAGGAACAACGACCGTGTTGTATCCGGAGCGTAAACCCGGGATTATCAAGGGCTGGGTGAGGGTCAAAAGGCGGGATACCAACGGGAATAATGGTGTCTTGGCGCTGTATCCGCCTGCTAGGCCCACGTTTGAGGTGTGACTCGGACACTGGGAAACGCTAACGGGGAATACATTCTCTCCGAATGACCATTGAGGGAGGGAGGAGATCTTTGTGCGGCACGGTCAGATACAGGGACGTCAGCGAGAGGGCGGTGATATCTTGTGTCGATCAGTGGTTGCGTGTAAGACATAGGCGCCAACTGAAGAAACACGAAACCTCACCGTTGTTATAGCTTCAGTGGGAACGTAAAGAGGATGTTGGGAAGATCAAGTTTCCTCTCTACGCTCCTACGTATACAACCTTCGCAAATCATCCATCCGGGGACAATGCCGTAGTCATCCATCATAACCCGGCACCAAGACATCGGGAACAAGACGGACGTGAACAAAGCCAGACGCTAAACCCCTAGACCAAGCCTCTTTCGCACGCCAAGTCCCCCATCACCATCAACACTTTCGAGATGCCGTTCGGCAGCCACTTCTTTAGGAAAGCCACGCTCGGATGATAACAGCCGAGAACAAATCCCATTGGACCTTGTACCCGAGGAACAAAAGTCTCGACCTTTTGAGGAGATTAAGCAAATGTGAGGGGTATCGGTAATAGCAGTGATGTGAATGCTTGCTATTACCGGATACCTCGTTTGCAGATCTGAGATTCCTACCCGAGCCCCCACACAAGTTTTTGAAATCTGGGCATACGTGTACTTTTAGTGGACAGGAAAAAGATTCTGCGCTGCCATTTATGCGTGGATGGTACCGAGGATCTGTAATTGATACCGTATCTTTTGTGACGAGTGCTGCAGGCTTCAAGAGAAGAAAAGATAAACGGGCACGTGAATGCTCATGTGACCGGATTCCCCGCTGTCGCAGGCATTACTCATTAGTCTCATGTTTAGATTGCTTTTATGATTCAAACTGTGTGAAGCCACAATGGGATCTTCGGGAACGAATGAGAAACGGATCCGAAAATAAGTGAGGATACGATCCATTGCCCGAAACGAAGAGGTCGAAGAGGCTTGTTTCTTTTCTCCTCCTTTAGGTTATCATCCCGAGATCTAGATAATATTATTACACCCTGGCCAGGGTTATCTCTATCTCTTAGTCAATATCGTCAACACTCGTCTCCCCATTTCCTTTCTCATCAATCTTGGGGCCCAACAGCTCCGTCGCCTCCTTCAACGCTCCACCCCCGTCAAACTCCTCATCATCAGTAACATTCTCAGGCTGTTTGAAAGAATCCTGTGCCCCCTCCTTCAACGACCCATCCTCGTTTACATAATCCTTGTGGTACAGCGAGAACAGAATCACGAGGTACGGCTCCCCGGTTTCCTTGTTGCGCAAGACATATCTGAGTTGATGTGAGCGTTTCGGGCCGGGCCTGTAGCGAGTGTAAACGGAAAGGCATGGAATGAGTGTGACAAAAAGTCCCGGTGCTGTGGAAAAGGAGGGTTGGGTTTGGCTTACCTGAGACCTTGACCGTCCCAGTACTTCATGATGGGTAGCTGGAAGCCAGGTAGGTTCAACGCGAGGTCTGAGAAGTTAAGATACGGATTGAAGAAGTCGAAACCGTATGTCTGATCATACTCAAACACCCACTTCTCTTTGGCGTCAGCTCTGAGAGCCCACTTCATTCTCGCCTTGCTGGTAAGAGGAGCGCCGACTTCCTCACGAGCTTCAAGACCATCTTCATCGCCACCCTCCTCGAACCAAAGACCACCCTTCTCTTCATCAAACTCGCCTTTGCCCACATGAATGGTGTTGAAAGAACTCAGCGCTGGGCCATACAAGAAGGGCTTGTCAGCATACGCATCACCATCCAGACCAGGATCGATCCACCAGCGCACTATACTCATAGCCGTGTTGAAACCGGGTGGTAGACGATCTCGAATGGGATGATCAAAGTCATTGCCGAACTGAAGATCCGTGGCCTTGATACCATCGTCCTCGTCATTGGAGGGTTTCTTTGGTGTGAAGCGGAATGAGATGCTGTATTGATCCCTATTGTAGGCATGAGGCTCAGTTGAGAAGTATGGTGAAGTCGCTGGTGAGTTGCGAGGAAGGCCTTTGTAATCGTTGACGCGAACGTTGAGCTCAATGTCAGCGCGATCGCTCTTGATGGTGATGGGCTTGGCGGTGTTGACTGGGACCTCAACCTGTTGAGATTGGTCGTAATCAGGACCAGCTGTGATGCGAAGGACGTAATTCTCCGCCATTTTGTCTATCCTGCCGTGTATCTTCTATATCTTGTAAGTTTTGTTCAAAGCACCCGCTGTACGCAAGAATGAAGGCGATTATGAATGACGTAACCAAGTCCGTTGGTGAGACTAAGATGAGAGAAGCCGATGTTGGTACTGTACTGTAACCCGAAAAAGTGTTGAAGAATGGAAGTGAAATAACAATGCACGAGTCTAGTTTTATTGTCAACTTGGATAGTGGCGTTGATAATGGCCTTACAAGAATGACGTGAGGGTTTTTTCACCTCTTGTGCTGCGTTTTGAGACTCCATTCATTGGGTCAACCACGCCAGCCTAAAAGCAGCTCCGCCATCGCATGGCATCGTTTTTACGAAGCCACCAGACCAAAACGACAAGGGAATGAGGCTCAATTGTATGCTGTGTCATTGACAATCACCACAGGTTCAAGTCAGCTGCATTCATCACTGTGCACGACATATGCAAGGGCACTGGTAGAGAAGCCAGCCCTCAGTCGTGAGGTTAGGCAATATGTTTTGAGATGGCATTGCATGATCGAAACGGATTCGTCAGTCTGGTCGTCTAATTTGAGCTTCATCAGCTGTATTATCGGCTTCTTGTCGTCTGAGGTGTTGCCAGTTTGGTCGGAGAACTGGATACCTTATTTTCTGCCTCAGGCTAATACAGCGCTCTGCCTGCTTTCCACTTTCCCAGTCTGACCCCTACTCCAGATCTCCCCGGTTTTGGGTCCATTACACCAGACGCCGGGTCAAAGAAATCATCAAGAAACCATCAAGGTCTCATCTTCTATCATTTCCAACGACCTCACTCACTTTTCGCATAATAACTCGTCTGTCCATCTTTATTCTGGCATACGCAATCTCTCACTCATACCTGCGACAAGCAGCAAATGACATTCATCCTCAAAAGCAACATACAATACAAAATGCTGGCATATGATCATTCTCTAAGCGCAATATACTAACACACTCTATATACAACTGAAACATTATTAATAGCTTGATCACTCTCCAAAACGCCGCTCATTTCACAATACCAATTCACAAACGCCACGTCTCAAAACTATACAGATGCTGTCAATCCTACCTTCGATCCACCATCACTCATCCTTCATCTCTCGAGATACTCGTCGAAACTCGCTTCCAGATGTTGTTTGGTCCTGTGCGATGTGCGCCAGCGCATTTATCACTGCATTCATCAGCAACGGAAGGAGGCCTCTTGGCCATGTAAGCATTAACATACTCTGCACGTCCATCTTGGATCTTATCGCCAAGTAGAATTCTTGGTTTATCCTATCCTGTTCATGCTCCCCTGAGCGATGGCATGGACAAAACTCAAAGTCTGTCGACAGTGGAGGCAGGTCTGGCGTGGAGAGTCGAGTATCCCTAGGGGTCTGGGGGCGCCAGTCGTCTGTGAGGACAACTCGTTCGGAGTTGTGCCACTCCAACTCTAGGTGACTAGGTTCCACGGGTGCTGAGTGGCACCAGGACCCCGCGTAGGCAAAGCCTCCGTCAGGAGAGGGATACGATGGTTGCCAGCTACCTCGCCAGTGATCAACGGCCGCCTCAAGTGAGACACGATATGGCTTGCGCGGAGCCGTCTGATAGAGCTCATATTCTGGCTCGAGAACATCTGGGGACGGCTGGGCTCTATTTGAGCACTGATCCAAGTCTGGCAGGTGGTATGGGCCAGGTGTTCTGGGTACTTCATTCCGCAGCCGAGCATCCGCAGCTCTGATCCGCTCGACACTGCGAGGGATATCAGCCAAGCGGTGATATTTGGAGATGGCACTATCATCAACGGGCTTGTTCTGCGTTCTGTGCCTCGTTGAGGTGAGGTGCCTCTCAGTGACCTGCTTCTGGGACGATAGCGGGGCATAGCTATGTGTGAACTCTGGGGCGGACGACGACAAGGGAGGGGAACGGGGAGAACGATGAGAAGCCATCTCATCATCATCGAGGAAAGGGTTGATTGCCATTTTCAGAGGAAGGGGATGTTCACAAGTATGATGGGATATATGGAGATCAAGTGAGAGCAACAGCAATGTAGGACAGGTGTGGATGCGAGGTTGTCCTACTTGGACTCAAAGGGTTCTTGAACGCTGTCAATTGATGCAAGTGAAATGGAAGGGAGACTGGGAAGTTTTTTTGATGGATTTTTGATGGGAAGCATGAAGTGATACGAAAGGGGGAGAATGAGAGAAATTGGTCGAGGGGGGAGGAGGACTATATATGGGAGGCCCAAGGAACGACACTCCTGCTCCCCCGCACCGTCCAATCAGAGGACAGTATCCTGGACCTCACACAACCTCACTCCTAGCCTATCCCACCCCCCACGCTTCATCACATGAACTATCGTCGTCTTTCTTCTTTTCTCTGCTCATATTAGCCGACAACGATAACGAATTGGACCCTTCTATATGCACAATCTGTCTTCCACAACGTGTAAGACACTGGGAGACAGTGACGCTGTTCCATTGACAACAGCTCACCAGAAGTCTCATGCGTAAGTCGACTCTTTGTAGCTTTATTCGAGTCGCCTGATGGAATTGGAATACTCTACAATACTTGAGTTGTTCATGTTTCCCCTTTCCTCTTCTTTCCTCTGCATATCCAATGAGCAAGTCCGGTAAAGATCTGGGTTTGACAATCCCGTATCTTTCACCGCGCCGGTCATACAGACCGAGGCGTATTACAATCACTGGGAGTACCTACGCATTGATGGGGTACTCCCCTGGCGTGGTTGCAATTGCATATGCAATGGCGATGAGGTTTCTGCAATCAACCGCATGCTCCGGGGCTGTCGAAGGGTGCGTATGATGCTTGATGACACTAGTGAAGGATACCTACCTATGATGCTTCGGTATGCGGATTACTTGAAGAAGCTGCCTGCATACGTGGGTTGTACATTACCAATAAGGCTGACTATGCTGTGGCAGCGATTGTCTACAAGTAAATGAAGAGATGCCTTCCCTCCTGGCTTCGTAAGCCTCGCAACGTTGCGTGTAGTATTTCATGTAACTCAAATTGTTTGTGTATAAAATCGAACCCAACATTCTGTATTTTCGGAAGAATGCGTAGCTGAGTCCCCAACTTTGCGTGATACCATCAAGCCTAATTCCCAGAAATGGCAACGGGCAGAGAGAGATATTGCGGATTTGGTGGTTCGCAACATCTTAATCCTTGTGAAGGTGTGATTGGATCAATTGGGTGCCTGACAGTTCCCCACCGGCGCAGTACTTGCTGGGTACTTACAAACTGCGGCGGGGGAGTGAAGAGAAGAGGTAGAGATCTGAACCCACGCTTCTGTGAAACCTGCAGCAAGTGGATAAGCTTAGCGTGTAACCGCCAAGTAAAACTGTGAAGACACACTTGCGGCCAGCAGTTCGCTCGTACCATCTTCAAATGCGGGTAACAGTCGCTCGGGTTTAGCTGTGGCTCAACGAAGGATTGAAAGTTGGGGCGCAGCTCTTACGGAGATACCTGGGTAACACAGCTTCTGGCCCATCGCACGAGGTAACTCCAGGTACTTCCCTAACCGTAAGCATGCATGTTCAGAAACGTCTATTGTGTTTCCTTCTTGAGACCTCTGATGAGCCACAGGTTACCCGCATTGAGGGTTTCACGTAAAAAGACCCAATTCCTGGCCAACTGTTCAAAAGTTAGCTCTTCATCAGTGTTACCGTTCTGTGCTACTAGGGCTAGAAATTGACTACTTGCATACGGCACTCCTCGACACCTAGTGGATCTAATAATCATTCATCTCCACACGGCGATATACTTCATGTGGGTTCTTAGTTGGTGTTGCACGAGATTCAAGGCCCTTGCATTGCAGCGAGGGCGCCTTTTGTGGCTTACACCCCGTTATCTTCAGATGTTGGCGTGCGAGGTTACTCCAAGCACTCGTGTAGATTTGGAATTATTGATGGTGTACATGATAGCACTACCTTAATGTCGAAAGTGTTGATACAATTAAGAAGGAGCATCAACCTGATAAATGAGTTCCCTGTTGCTCTATGAAGTGCCCTTTAATCTGATGTTAACATGAAGTCGTTGTAGATCGTGGGGTCAAGTCTTGGTACGGCCCGAAGCATCCACAGACGATCCGCCCCACCACAGTGGACCACAGTGGACCACATGGCCCTGGCCCGGCCCCGTTTGAGTGAGTCTTCATTGACGCTCACACCAGCCACAATGGAAGCCACAATCCTTCCGTGTTTGCGACCCTTGTGCTGCTCCAGCTGATGCTCATCCTACCACCATCGCCCCAACAGAAGAATGTGTTCAACAAACACGTCACCGATCTTTTCCTCTCTTTCAAATTCCAATCTACTTTCATGAAAAACCACAACTTCTTGTTTCAAAAGATATAGCCCGGCCTGAACCGGCCAGTGCCATATCATCATGATCGGCACATCATTCGGTGAATGGATCTTCATCCGTTTATCCATCGCCTTCTTTCGCTACACGCCTCTCATTTACATCTTTCTCATCTTATTCCTCCCTCTCATCCAACCTGTATCCGTCGTCTTTCCATTTGTGTGTGTTCTGCTAGCAGCGTTGCTGGCAGAAGTGGTGTTCTATTTGTGCATATACAGACCATACCTCCAACGGCTCAAACGGGATGCAGACCACCCACCAGCGCTGTCGCGCCAAGACCGAAAAGCCCTATTTGAGAGATGTTTCGGGAACGTGCCGTCTTTGGAGATTTATCTGAGATGGTGGTTCCTTGATGCGGATCCGAAGGAGATACGGAGGGAGAATGTAAGAGAGTTCATGTTATGGGCTTTCTTCGAAAGGTCCGATGGTGCAGGGTTGGTGGATGAAGGGGAGACGGTTGAGGAGGAAGTTGAACATTATCTGGGCCTTGTTGAACAACGACTTGGTCGAAAGTTCGAGAGAGGATGGGGCAACGTCAAGAGTCTTCGTCTCACGATTGATGGTATCACGACAACGTATCGAAGTCTTGTTTGGTATATTATCATCTTCTTCGTTGATCAGGCCACTCATTTCGCCTTTCGCTGGCACGGATTCGACTTCTATCGCCGACCTCGCTCTTCTGCACTTCGTGTATTCCCCCCACGGCCCCAAGAGCTGTTCCCTGGCCCCAAGTCTCCATCCACACGGTTGAGTTACTGGCACCGCCCTCATACAGCTGAAGACAAGCTCCCTGTTGTCTTCTTCCACGGTATCGGAATCGGATTATGGACATATGTTCGTTTTCTGGCAGGTCTTCATAAGATCGGTGATGGCAAAGGAAGTATTGGCGTCATTGCCCTTGAGATATTACCCATCTCATTCCGCCTCACCCCAGCCATTCTCGACAAAACCGAGTTCCTAGCTCATATGACATCCATCCTGGAACACCACTGCTGGCACAAATTTGCTCTGGTGTCACATTCCTACGGCTCCGTCCTAACAACTCACATGCTCCACGAACCAGGCTTTCAACATCGTGTGTCCTCGGTTGTCCTCATCGATCCTGTGACCATCATGCTACATCTTCCCAACGTAGCGTATAACTTTACTCGACGAAAGCCCAAGAGGGCGAATGAATGGCAACTGTGGTATTTCGCTAGCACCGACCCAGGTGTTGCGCTTTGTCTGGGGAGACATTTCTTCTGGCGGGAGAATATCCTCTGGAAGGAAGATTTGTTGGGGACTCAAAGTGGCGGCCATCATGCAAGGCACGTTGCTGTTACGCTGTCTGGTCGCGACCTCATAGTCGACACTACAGCAGTTGCAGAATATCTGGGAGTTGATCTTGGTGCTGGTCGTAATGGCGTGGTAGCGGAATCGCACAATGGCGTTGAAGTAGTTATGTTTCCGAAACTGGACCACGCGCAGGTATTTGATGACCGTGCGAGTAGAGAGTCGGTGATTCAGATGGTTAGATCGAGATGCGAAAGTTAGTGGATGGTATCTCAGGAATAGCCGATGAAATAGATCGATATAATAATGAAACTGCGCCTGCTTCAATTCTTTGACTGGATCACATCGCCACCCCATTCTGTCAAGTCTGCGCGGATAGGAGTTGAACCGCTTTGGATCATGAGCCATTGAACATCTTCGTCTGTGTCATTCTTGACCTGATGTTCGATCCAGGCGGGCACAAAGGCAAAGTCTCCGGGTGCAAGGTCATGGTGTTTCAATTCAGAGTTGACAGCCTCGTTCACAATGAGAACACCATTTCCAGAGACGGCGTATATGATGGTGTCTGAAGACTCAGCTCTCATCTGGGGCAGACAGGCTTGAAGAAACTTACCTTGTTCACTGTTGTGTCTAACTGTAGACTTGGAATGCGGTCGCGTTGTAAGAACTGACGTGTGAGCGATAAGGTTCGAGACATAGATGCGAGATAACTTGACCTACCAGTTACGCACATATTATCGCACTTTCCGACAACAGCGGGACGTTCTATAACAGGACCTTCGACTGTTGGGTGAGTAGGCTCAAGTTGTTTGGCACGGGTGATGTTGGCGGAGGCGGGCATTATCATCGGAAGAATCTCCGAGATAAGCGGTAATAGCGAGCTCATCATCGGCGAGTTTGGTTATGTTCACAATAGTTGAAAGGAATACGCGGTGGTATCGAAAGCCAAGTCACAAAGAGATGCAGTTGTATAGTAGAGAGCAGCGTGACGTGGGCGGCGAAAGATGAAGGTATTCCCAGCGGGAGATGACGTCGCTAGAATGGTAATTGGCTAAGAGAACAAGTATGCCAGCAACGCAGGAGATTCTGGGGTCCAATGAATGAGATTTCGAATGATGCACTATTGAGCGATGAAAAAAGAAGCGCGTGACCTGATGATTCGAGGGTAGATTTGGTGTTTCGGTTTGGTCAAGCTGGGGGAGGGAGTGAGAACAGGCGTTAGGCCTCAAGCGGCCCAGCCACCGGAGCTAGTGGCGGAAGAGTCCCTGACGAGGATGGAGATTGATAAGGCAGGTTGATGAACATGGGGGTTGAATAGGTGTGGTGTGACCTGATCTTAAATATTGAAACAATATTTACATTGTTTTACTATTCTTTCTTATGTTCGTTCTATTGTAACTTGCTGTTGTTTGAGTTCGTGAATGCTCCGTACGTCGGCGACTGATTGATGATCTCCCCACTTCCCGTGCGAACAGATGTCGTCAACGAAATATCCCAATACAACAGAAGGTGTAACATAAAACATATTCCTCCAACTTCTTTACGACCTAAAGCGTTAATTCGTATTTCTCTCTCTCATGACCTGATCAGAATCAAGTGGTTCCGTTCTAGAGTCGGCATCTCCTGCGGCTGAACTCCGCTTAGCTGCATTAACTCGACTTCCCCATCATCGTCACCGCTGAAGCTTCAAGTCCAGACCCTCCCTCGGCTCATCAGCTCGCCACCCCTGCTTTGAACCCCAATCTGATAAATTAAGGTACATTCAACATTTTTATCTGATCAAACTCATGAGATAGGAACTGCCATCTTTAACTTCACTTCTCAGAACAAGCCACAAGATGTCCTCCAGTGAACCCCAGTCACCACTGTCCGGGCCATTATCAGATCCATACCCCGGGCCTGCTCTTCTTCTACATCTTCCTCCCGAACTCATTGATAACATTCTTTCTCACCTTTCACCTTACGACCTCTCCGCCATATCCGCAACCTGTCGAGATCTGCATAAACACGCTCTCTCAGATGTCCTTTGGTACCCACTCGTTCAAGAAAACGTCCCAGGCGTCACTCTCACAAGTCCCCGGCCCTGCGACAGCTATCATGAGCTTTACGCCGCTCATGATCGTCTTTGGTTTCTTCCCAGACAAAAAATCTGGTTCTGCGATAGAGATCTTACTGGAAGACTCATGCTCGTTCGCTATGATCCTCGGCGGGGTTGCATAGAGGGCTATCAATTACTCGCGAGTAGAGACCGGCAAATACAGCAAAGTTTCCTCGGACAAGGCGACGTCTTGATTAGTGAATTCGATCCCAAGGTCAAGCTCCATCTCGACAAGCCTGTTCTGCAGTTTCGCGTGGGAGAACGAGCTCCGGAGGATTTTCTGAATCGACCTGGTGCCAATCGCTTCGCTGATGAGATGCCCGTAACTCTCGATGACAGAATCGACGCTCTATTTAGCAATTTCATGCTAACATGCGAGCTCGATCAAGAAGAAGCCCAAGAAAACCTCACCTCAAAATTCCCATACGGCAATATCTGGCCATCGCCTCACATCCCTTCAAACCACCATGTCTCGGGAAGCAGCACACAAGTAACATCAGAGGGCATCTTCGTCAAGACACCATCGTCCCGGCCTCAGCGCCGCGAAGAAGTATCAGAGCGGTTCTTCCGCATTCGTCAATGGATGGAAATGGCAGGCGGTTTATCCCGAGTCGGTATGGCAGCTGGTTTGGGTAGGATATACAATATGCTAAGATTATCACGCACCGCAGTCGAAGGTGGAATACCAAACGTTCACGTCGGCGAGGAGCTCATCACGTACTCCACCCTCGATCCGAAGCTATACACGCCGACATTGTTAAAGCCGTGGAGGGGAATCTGGGTTGGTGATTACAGTACCCACGGATGCGAGTTTTTGCTTATGCACCAACCTGACGATGAGACGGCCGCGACGGATGAAGAACTCGGCCTTGTGAGAAGGGATTCTGAGAGTGATGAGGAGTGGGAAGCAAGACGGACTGAAGGACGGACGTTTCAGGGACGACTGGAGGCTATCAAACTAACTGGTGATCCCAATGTTCCGCGGGGAGAAATCACTTTTGTAGCTGATGATATTGGACCTGATGGTGTCGTCGACGGTCCGCCGGTAGATCCTCGCTTCCAGGGAATGAGAGCGGTTCACAGCAAAGGACATATTGCGAATACGGGATTCGCCTCAGGTAAGAATTTATGAATGAGCCCCTTGTTTCACTTGGGCTAGGCTTCAAAATGAGCTTGCACTGACGGGTAACGAAAACAGACCGGTATATTGAGAGCCAGCTTATATTTGTTAGCCACGATCGTCTTGCGCAACATTGGGTTGGGCTTGGACATATCAACTATTTTCAGAGGGTGGACATTGGTGAGTTCCTGAAGGTGTAATGTTGTCTGGAGAATGGGCACGAGATGATCCTCATTACAGTCAATCTGGTGGTCAGAGAAGAAGTTCTGGCTTGATTATAGTGATACATGACTAAACTATACTTAATTTACGCATTCATGGTAAGGGCTGTCCCTTGGGTTTGTGGTTGATGCGTTATGAGCATTGAACTCTTCGCGTTCTGGATCCCTCGACAACCCTATCTACACTTTTAACGAATTTCCCTTACAGTCGATAAGATTTTAAGACCATATAAGACGTATTCGATCCACTTCACAGCGTTATCTTTGGTCATGTTGTGTACAAAATGCCAAACGCTTCATTCCCGGTTGCCTACCCTACAGCGAGCATTCAGAAAATCATGATGGAGCCAAACGTTGATGCCATGTATTTCTAAGGGTATCAAGGAATATTCCAGTACATGTAAACCATCAGTTTCAATTCTCGGATCGTACGTCCGATATCATGATTTGCATAGATCATTGACGTCTTGCATCTGGGCTATTGCCCTCGCCCAGAAAGTCCACTCAGACTGTTTTCTTTCCTGCACGGGTTCGTGTGGGCTCGAGGCCCGACGCTGTGGACGCATGGCTCACTTCGGAGAGCTGTTTTGTATCTTTTCGTTCTTCTTATCTCCGATTACTTGGACTTGTTCTTCTGAGCCTGAGCCTGCTCGTAGATCCAGTCATTGAGACCAGCACGGTTTCTACTCCTCATTAGCCTCTACTCATTCCCATCTCCCCAGCACAACAAAACTTACCGTGCAATCTCAAGAGCGTAAAACTGCATACGAGGCACAAAAATCGTGGTATCCTCCTCATACTCAACATCGGGTCTATCGCGCACCATGGTACCAAAGTTATAATCATCCACCTTCTTCTCGTACGCCATCATGAATTTTCGCCAGCGCTCCTTGCCGGCCTTGCTCTTCATCTCGTCCTCGTCGACTTTGGCGGCGGGGTCGAACTCGGGGAAGTCGGTCTTGAGGTGCTCCATGATCTCGTCGTCGATCTTGGTCAGGCGGAGGGTTGAGCCCTTGACGCGCTCGAGGATGGACCAGTAGGTTTGCATGTGCTGGACGACTTTGACGGCAAATTGCTTCTCGATCTGCAGGGTGTTAGTTTCTGTATGGAGGGTTGTTTCAGATCGTGGGGTAATCTGCGTACGTCTTCGTTGTTCTGGGCGTTCTCGGCATCGAAATTTTTGGGCACGGGGGCGCCGGCCATGTTATCGAGGGGATCCATGGTGAATGTCAGTTTGCTCGAGAAGATTTGCTTGGTGGTTGTGTATGGGCTTGAAGGTAAAGTTGTCGTTGGGCAAAAACTTGAACGTGGGGCAATGATGATTGATGGAGGGGCAGCCACAAAAAGAAACCAGGGACGGGCATGATATCAGCGCATAGTGTTTGCGCTTGTTAGCACTGTTTGTCTGCACGGTGCATCTGGTGCCTGCTGGAACATGGTCGACATATCTCGTGATTACTACAATTCTCAAGCATATTGTTGTTTTTACCAAGACTTTCTTCTTCTGTTGAATGCTTTGAGTCATATGACTCATGCGGTGTTGCTGCTTGATGATGCCACTGCGGCGATTGTCTAGCCCTACAGACAGACAACAGTGAATGTTCCATGCAAAACACTAACACCAATTCATTCACCACCCAAAAAGGTATCGCCAAAAGCATTACATTTGATGCTAAATGTTAGCAAACGCAGTATTCTGGATTGTCATCGGCAATTGCTGATGGTATTATTCTGACATCACCGTCTCTTTGCCTCAGCCCTCTGCTGTCTAATCGCAGTGCTACTAATCTTTGTCGCAAAATCATTCGTTTTGCTCACTTCCCCATCACCAACCTCATCAGCATCCAAAACATCAATCTCAAATACTTCAAGCGGTTTCCATCCTTTCTCCACCCTACGATCGTTGATTGCTTTACCTCCACTCCGTGTTTCTGCAGAAACAACAATCGCATCAGCATCTTCCTCGTGGATTGGTGGACCAAATGGATCACGAAGTATGATGCATCGCACTTTGACTCTTCCATCGCGTAGAGTAGCAATTGCTTCATCGGGAGTGCGTTCTATTGGTGGTGATGTAGATGTTGTATCGTAATCGAGGAGCGTTGAGAGGAATGAGAGAACAGTCTGCGAGCGTTCATCCCATGACTGAAGCTCTTCGGCGTATTTCTTCTTGACGAGTAGCTCATCGCTAGATATACCCACGACGAGAGTGCATGTCTTGTCAGAGTCTTTTGGAGGGATATTGAGAAGAAGAACGCTTGCATGAAGCAATAACTTGTGGCCCGGGTGAAGATGATCAAACGTTCCTCCTAGACAAACAGTGTTGAAGCCTTTTTGCTGTTCCTTTGGTGACAAAGTCGATTCCTCTGTCAAACTGATTCCACCTTCAATAGCCACAAGCTGACTCTGAGTAAACGTTTGCTTCTTCTCTGCAAGTTTGAGAAACGAGGAAAGCAAATCATATCCTTCTTCACAGCTTGGATGATAAACAGTCTGCCATGGTCGAACCTTTGTCGCAAACGCAGCTAAATCCAACACAGCAGTACAATTCGCCTCAAACCCGCCATCAAAATCTGGTTCGTAGCGTCGGCCCCTCTCATGGTCGATAAGAATGATGCGCACATCTACGCTGCCATTTCCAGCGCCGACGTCAACGGGAATGTTCTCCTTGGCGCATATGACGGATGTCAGAGTGTAAAGACCTGCGAGGAGATATTGAGCGTTTGTCCATGCGATTGTCTTTGATCTGTGTGATGAGCCGGTGAGAAGAGGAAGTGCGAGGCCGACTATGAGAGTTTGGGGAGTTGAAGATTGTTTGAGTTTGGTGAGGACGGATGTTAATGGTGAGCGATAGGCAGCCGAGAGGGTAGATGCGGATGGAGGGCGGGGGGGAGAAGGTAGGAGAAGAAGTGATGGCGCCATAGTAAATTTCACTTTAGACTGTTGTGTTTGGCTATATGTTTCTATTCGTGCCTGTAGAGCCAAATTTGAGTGAATTCAAATGTATGATCCGATGTTTGAAGGTCCTAAGCAAGAATGTCGTGATATTGATGTTGGTGTTGCAGGGCCGAGGTACCTTACCCCGCTAACGTCATTGTGTTTACTTGCATGTAGAGACCCGCTTCATGAATGACGAGAATGTAGAGGACAAACACCTCCTATTTATTTATGCCTTTCATTTGGTGAAATATCAGTAGAGTTTTCTTGTACAAGTTTGTTTCTGAACAAGAGACTGAACCAATTCGGAGGTGGAAACTCAATCAACTTGCAGGTTGTGTACAATTGACTTTGCCTTATCGCTAGCAAAGAGAGCACAACTGTATTTGCAAGAAGTGAGTACATTTGTTGTTTTTGGTCACAATTGAAAGGAATCACCTCTGACTGTCGAAACAAAAATACTGGGTTATTTGCTGCCTCTGACTCTGAGGCATCAGTTTATGTAAGCCAGGGTCAAGTATAAGAAGCCCATTCTCCCCCTTTCAATCGACCACTCCAGCTTTCATCTCAGCATTCTGCTTATTCCATCCTGCTTCATTCTCAAAGTTCTTCGACGACCCAGACTCCCAGATGGAGCTGATATCTCCTACACACATCACCAGTTCAGTTACTCAGGACAGCACAGAAGCTCGCATTCAAGCATGCTGCATCATACTTTGCTCTTCCTCCCAAATTGGCTTTCAAGTAAAGCTCAGCTTCCATAGCGTATAAACAAATAAATCCTGGATCAAGGTTTTGTAACTTTATCTTAACTACTATCTTGCGTCTTTTAAGTATTCATATACTTAAGGCATGACCTGTAAACCAAGGCCTACGAAAGAATTCGACGTTAAGAAAAAAAGGACCAGAGAGGATTAGAAGATAATTTGGTAAGTGCTTCTATCATTAAAAACCTATCGTCACACGCTCCCGGCACATTTTAATATACCTCTTCTAACATACGTGAGTCTGTCGATAGGACTACATGGGTCTGAACAATATGCAATGCTTCAAGAAATACAGGCTGACTTGGGGTATTGAATGGGACAGTATATAATACTGAAACAGGATGATATAGTCTCTACATGGCCTTTCGAAATTTACCAGTCTAACTTTTGTCGATATGCCTCGTCTTCTTCGTCGTTCAGCCTGAGATCACCTTGGTCACAGAAACACATTGCAGCAAATCAGCATTTCACTAAATGGCACTGGGACTCGATACAGAGTCATGGGCAAGCTCTAAAGAACTGTTGGCCATTATATGGGCCTTAACGTTGGTTTTTGAGAAGATGGGCTGGCAGTGCCAGCGGCTGTCAGGGAGCCGGCAGACCTCAACGACAATGCTTTACCTGGCCCTATTATCATTTGAGCGAGCTACGGTCAGTTGTCTCCGTAGAAACCGCTTTACTCACGAAATATGTAAATCTCAAAAACCGCCAGTGCAAGCTTTTCATCCACAAACAACAAACCACATCTACATAAGCCACCTCTGCAAGCATATCACCCTTGCAACCAACAAACCAGACATGGACAAAGGAGGCATAGAAGAAATGAACATTGCCATGCTTATACGCATGGTCCAAATGGCAAGTTTCGTTGAATGTAGTTATTGTTTTACCACTAACTGATCCTCCAGCTCCTCTACTTGATTCAATAACAGAATACGTTGATAAATCAACCGGGGCAACAAGTTTACTGGCTGCGAGCCGAAGTCAAGTATGAATAGTCTAATCAATCAAGGTTCTACAGTGCTAACAGTTCTTTCCTCGGACAAGTTGCAGCTTATAATGTCTCTCACAAAGCACGCCAGCTCTGTTAATCAACCCAGCTGTGCTTTTTTGTGAATATGAACGAAAACACCCGTATTGGTCTCTGCAGCGATCGAGGTTGCCTTCTCTGCCACAAATCCTGTGACACCGCCCTGAACACGCTGCCCGCAACGCCGGACCAAGTCGAGAGACATCCCAACCCCACTAAAAGGGCATCACATCTTCGAGATTCATGGCCATCGGGGCGACGACGGCGACGACTGCAAGTTCCTTGTCCAATGGGTTAGGTACCCGAAGGGCAAGGCTACATGAGGGGAATGTTACCTATCAGGGTAAGTAAAGAGAATTGAGAATGAAAGATGAGACCCAGCAAACACTGTACCTTCACATGTATGAAGAGCGTCAAGAACATGTATCTCGAGGCACAAGATCATCACACAGCTTGACAAGTGAAAGCCTGTACTGGAAAACTTCATGGAACGATGATACAAGAGCCGCTCAGGACGCGATTACATGCGCGAATTCATCAAGCGCTCTCGCAAAACCACACCGGCCGCCAACAACACCTCTACGACTACTCACACTGCAAACACCACCACCCGCCTCACCCCTGACGCTACCATTACTCCTGTCGCCACTACTACTGAGGCTGGGTCTCCCATCGCCTCCACTACTGAGATCCCAACTCAATCAGCAGTTTATTTATATACACGCTAAACAGACCAAACTGGTCACAGGAGTCTGCTGGCACCGCAAGATAGCCCAAGCGTTCGATGCTGTGGGCATACACGAACTTGACTGGAGAGTCTTTAACCGGAATCCTTCGACCAAGAAAAAATCTTCAGAGAAGTGCGTTAGCTCCGATACCCAAACGAGTCAACGTGGAGAGCTTTCTGGGTTCATACACGGCCACGTGTTTTCTACGATCGCACTTATCCTCTTGAAGGGATCTAGGAGAACCAGGCTTTTTCAACACCTGCATCTGACACAAATGATTCATAGAAAGGAGCACAAGATCGAGCTCAAATCAAGGACATACCTTCCATCAACATCATCACTTGACCCCTATCGTTTGATACGATGTACGATCTACTAAATATTCAGATACTTTGTATATAAGAGCACCAGTGATCAGACCAACTGAAAGAGGCAACCCATCCTCTCACACACGGTTGATGAGGAAAAGCACACCGTCTCCTTCCGGGTCAAGATGTCGGATGGAAGTATTGACAATGAAGTGCGAAAGATTGACATGGTTGTTCGCCCCATTCTAATCTCGCTTTGATGATTGGTGTATCCTTTGCAGGCAAAGAGCCAACTATGGTATTAGTGTAACCAAGTCGAGAAACCCTGGCTGCCTATCATCGACGACACAGTTGTAGGTCTGTCAGTTTGTAGACTCATAGACAAGACACTCAAGTGTAAGCTTTGCCATGGCTTTGGATCTCTTCTCTTTCTACCGACATGCACTCGCTGCTGCCACAATTTCATGCACACGTCTCCTAGAACGACAATTATCGGTTTGCATGATGGCTGGTGGCAAATCGCCCAACCATGATATGTGCCATGGAGATTTGAACGAGTAGATTCGTGAGAATAATGATCGTGTGCTCACGGTCCTTTACACTCCATGGATGCAGAAGTAAGTGATTTTCCACGGCAATAATCTTCTTATCTAGATAATAAGACCCTTCAATCATCCAGATAATAAGATCATTACTATTTGTCCTTTCCCATTGCCTTCCTTTTCCCTTTATTGTGTACGGAATAAGATACTTACTTATTGGATACAGCTTGGTCGTTTCCACCCTGAACCTCTATAAATACAACACCGCCACCGTTCGCAAACAGGACAACCCTAGCGAGAGAGCACAGACATGGGCAAATGGAATGAATCAGGAGTGCTTCTTTGCCAATGCCAACATCATCTCAGTCGAGGGAGGTTAAACTGCACCACCAATACATTGAGTTATATACACCCTGATCATTGACAACGCACGTCTGCGTTCCTATGGTAGATTTGCAGCGGCATAGAATTTAAGAAAGCAGTCGGAATACTCTGAACATCGATGCAACATGTGGAAGAAGATCGAGACTTGACATTTATGACCGGCAGGAATCTTGGACCTGTTACTGCCACCCAACTCGACGATGCTCCCCCTTGCCTTACCGCGGAGCTCTACGAAGCACCCCTCGATCCAGCGCACCATGATGGAGAATCAAAAGCCGCCAGCAGATGTTTCGCGCGCCGAGTGCTCCTCACGGCCCGAACAACGACCCTGTCAAGCGCAGAAACGACGCTAGATATCGACTGGTGCTACCTGAACCTACGTGCTTCGCCTCTAGGAATCAACTATTTTATCTCACTGAGACTTCGGCAATGGCCACTTCTAATGGCGCCCACGTGCAGTATTGCCCTTGTACCAATATATAAAGACAGTCCCGAAAGACTACCCTCACCCTGGAACCAACCCTTTAATCGATGTGCCTGGATGGTTGAACGGGAATATTCCAAGAACGAGAATACCATGAGAGCAGATTCCAATTCTTGGACTCACCCACCACAAGACCAAGACTGGATTGGGGAGAACCCCACGTATAACAAACGATGGCATACTCCTTGATGGAAACGATACCAAACCGGTAGCCCTTTTTCGAGCTAGAATATTTCAACCACTCTTCCTCTTCTCACCAACCCCTCTGCGGAAGACATCTGGCCACCGTAGCCCTAGCTAAACTTTCTAATACACACACATCCTCAGTTGTTGTGCCTACGATAGATCAAACACTTTATATTCCTAGTTTTTGTTCCGTGCGCTATCTGACCGTTCGCTTAATATAGCATATTGTTGCGACTACCAGTTCTGCTATGACTGCGGAAAACAATGGAAGACATGTAACTGTCCTCACTGGGGCTCGACGAAGTGGTATGGCCACGTCTTCGCATCATATGAGATAGCCGTCAATGTTTGCAAGACGCCAAAAGATGGGTTCGCATTTCATTGTCCTGTATCATTGGAATTAGGGGTGGATAAATCTGTCCCTGAAGCACACTCTTAAACATTCTGTCAAACCAAACCCCCCACGGGTCCTTGGCACTGAAAGAGCAGTTTGCGGCATACTTCATATTGCCCACTGGTGCTCTTTCGAAGAGCCATGTACTTCAATTGCGGCACTGTATAAAAGAAAATCCGAGCCTCAGGAATGACTGCAGGATGATGACCGAAAAGTCCATATCGACGTGTCAGAAGAAGCCAAAGATTAGCTTGGCAACAATGGATACTTGAAGGTTCGCCAACTGACCAAACCCAAGGAAATCACTTTGAACTGAGCGATTGCTTGCTCACGGTAAACCCCTTTCACTCATCATCTAGTCGATGATGCGTAGCAATGTTTCTTTACCTCCACACGATGATGGCGCGAGCAGGGATGATGTTGACAACTCTTAACACCACGCCCCGCAGAAGCTTTATCCTACATACCCCTTCGCATGCCCTCACGTCCGAACATCAGAAGCGACAGGAATGTCAGTGAATTTACACATTGTAACAAAAAAAGGAAATCAGCAAAAACATACAACAGCGGGGATTCGCTGGTCGTCACCGACCCAACTACTAATCCGCCGGTTAGTGGCTTGACTATGGGAGAGCGGACGGGATCCCGTATTTTCCACTACCTTTGGTCGTATGTACTAATCTCTTTGTAGGTGCAAACTATATGTTCTTCATTGTGTCGACTCGTGGACCTTAAGGTATGGAACACTGGTGTAAGATCGCAGACACCTCGTATTAGACTACTGATGAGCTCCAATGCCGAATCAGCCTCAGCTTGGCCGTATACCCACCCGTCTTTCCTCTCCCTTGGATAACCTCTTGCGGGACAGTGTCGCTAACCTGCCTCTCCTACTCTAGCGGCGACTATCAAGTCGATCAAGTCATTCTCTGTGACCGCCGGGTCAAAGGGGGTCACCTTCCAATCTCTTAACGATGATATCGCTATTATGGAGTTCTACTTATAAGCTGCCAAACCCAACCTTCCAACAACCCAGAGGTTAACTACCTCCGTAGTCGCGTCAAGCTCCTCGAAGAGGATAACGACTACGTCAACAAAATGAACGACGAGCTGCGAGAGCAAAACGACCGCCTCATCACCGAAAATGAGGAGCTTAAAGAGAAGCTGCAGTGAGTTTAGCAACCATGTTTCATGCTTCTATCACTAATTCGGAGGGCTTTTTAGAGGATTACACAGTTCTATATATATATCTAATATGAAGATACGGAGTCATTCATTTTCACCCAACCGTCGTATCAACATCAACTACTCAGTCCGTTCAACCCGGAAGCGCGCCGGGAGTAAGCCTTACATTCAGCTCCGGGGCCCACAATAACACGGCCAGCGACGCATTCCTTGCTACGACAGTTGCAAGAAGTTGACTACCGCCTTGCCGATTATGCTGACAACTACGAAAGATTCCTGATGCAAATGCTTAGGTATTGGTTGGCGTTGTAAGCCAGATTGCGTTTTACATCACTGTGTTGGTTTGGTATGCAAATATGCATGCCCGAGAGGATCAGCAAAGCGAACGACATTCTCTTCGGAAAAGCAAGAGCACCTATGCTGGGGTTATTGATAACGCCCAGAGCTTGATAGAGTTCTACAACACGATGCCGAGAGGAAAACTGGGCGTCATTTTCACCGTGCCTCTCAACGGCTCGGGGCCCGGCATGACCACGACCGAAATCCCATGGAGTGCCCTCAAGGGGCAGGCAGATAAAATGTTCGACCTATCGATTAATACCTCGGTGCAGAGAAACTACACAAAGAGTAGTTGAGTCCTGTTCGATTTGGATCAAGTGTCTCTCTCACAGATACATGGAGCCAGAACTGAAGGAGAGATTCTTACGGTCAGAGCCTAATGGATGGAAAGGCCATTTGCAACAGAAGGCAAGATTCTAGAAGCTATCACTAAGGAGAATTACATTATTTGCGCATATTAGATCATCTATATCTATCTTGGTCAGATGATCAGTAAATATCCCTGGCTCCGCGTCCCATGGTATAGAATTTACAGTGAGAAGCTCCACGAGAAAGGCTGCTCCCAGTCAGCCCTGGCCCGGTTTCTGTTAGAGACTGAAGTGCGGTATATTTCGCAATTGCTTTATCGTTACCAATGCTGACTTATACATATAGATCTCAGGGAATAGGGTGTTCGGGGCATTAACAGGCCTCCGGTCTATATTCAGTTGCTGGCGATATCACCAACATGGCCGATTTGCGAAAGCTGTCATCTTAACACTCTGCTCCCGAGGTTGAAACCTTTGACGCAGTCAGAGACCGACCCTTTGCTGCCCGTATCCGCGAACGTCAAGACCCAAATTTCCAGTTCAAAGCTAAAAGCGCAAACATCGCGAACAAGGCGAGCCCAAGGCCATGGTATCCCAAACCGTCACTCCCCGACGACAAGCGTTCGTCAAGCACATATGGCTACGAATAATCCTTCTCAGTAAAAACAAGATAGGTACACAAAAACAGGGGTACAGCTTAGCGATTTGTGGCTGTGGATGAAAGTTTACTTCTTCCATTCTTGCACTGTACGAATCTTCAGACCCTGGCAAATTAAAGATATATCTCTTGCCGACAGCGCCCGCCATTGAAGTACCTCTTCTGCAACTCTTATAAACGATGACAGTTTCCTATTTATATTATGAGCGAATTGCCCTAGGTCAAGTCTTTACTCCTCACTTCTCTTTAAACAATCTAGCCCCTAAAGATGAGTTCAAGGCAAGTAGAAGAGACAGGCACAGAAGCGGCAAATTTCCCACTCGGCGAAGCAGACCCGAGGCAAACGCATTATGAAGCTCCTAATGCTACGAATCCTTCTGAGCGTATATCCATGCACTGTGCCGAATGCTACGGGAAAGATATGGTGCAGCGCCATCTCCAAGCGCGTTATCCTCCGACTCTTCATGATACATGTAGCTAACCTCATCTTAAGGAACGCATCGACACTTGACACCCTACTGTACGACTAGGTGCACGAGGTTCCGCAGCAAGAAGTAGAGAAGACCGGGACTACTGCAAGAAGAAGGGAATCGCTATCCCATCTACGTACCTTGATCCAGAGTGTGAGAAAGTTTGTGGGTTCGATAACAATGGTCGTGATGAGAATGATGTTGGGGTCAATGATGGTGATAAAGCACGGGGGTATCAAGGTTGGGATGGGGATGAGAATCCTCCCGCTCGCTCCTTCATAAAGACAAACTCGAGCTCTCCGCAGGGAGAAAGAAAAGGCACAAGCCCAGGGGGTCCTGGGAAATTAGTATAGCAATATAAGCCGTATTGAACTCAAGTAGTAACAACTCAGAGCTAACTAATTGTCATACTACATGTAACCAGAGACTTGCGAGCATATACCTACCGCCAGAGAACAGCACCTCTCTCGTCGTTTTGAGATCACCATGAAATCCGTCTAAGATTTCCAGACTCGCATCCAGAGCACCCACGTGCCCTCGCCCTCTCCCAATCCTACTCCCAATAACTTATCGTTATACCCAGGATTGTTCACCGGTCCCACGCCTCTGAATGGCTCAACAACGAAGTTTTCGTCCTCTCTCTTCCCTTTATGAATATGAACGCTAGTAGCTGTGTCTTTGATTAGGAGTTCTATCCCTCATCTTGCGAATGCACTCGCTGCAAGGATCGACAATAACTCCTCTACTCTGGATGAGAAAAGCATTGACGTACGAGGGCCTCACCTGGTTGAGCTGATCAGTCCCGACTCTGCCTCTGCGAAATCTAACGGCCTCGCCGTCTTGTCGCATAAGTCTGCGCTGAGCTTCGTTGTGCTCCTGGTCCTTAAGTCGCTCGTCCAGTCCCTGATCTGTTCCTCATCATGGAACCGGTTGTAGACACGAGATGTTTGCTCTCTTTGTGGTATTGGACGAAGTTAATAAGTATTTTCGATGTTTAGGGATGGCGTTGGAGTTTTGTCGAAGCCTGTCAATGATAAGGAGAACGAGTCTTGGGACAATCGCATCGGAAACTCTGCGCAAGGCTTGTTGAATGCTCAGCCGTCGCCGTAGACACAGTAATTCTACTAATCCGATGTCTATGTTGGAGAGAGACGTTGGACATCAATGACCTGGAGTGAAAGAAGCTTCTCGAGAATGGCCTCGTCGTCGCGTCCAGAGGATCCGTTTTGCAGCTTGTGCCCCTCAGTCTTAGTTGTATTTTGGCTTTAGGAAAATATTTCTTAGAATAACTTCGATACATTTGCGATCTGTGTGGGTTGGTGAGGAAAGCTGTAGATAATGTACAGAACATGATGTCAATTTGACCCCGGACCTTGAGAAGCAGGTGACGATATGATGGACTGTTAACTGAGTGACTGGTAGGGATGAGGCTTCCCAAGTCTTTTGTCCTTTTTAAAAAGGGAGCTCCTGCCCGTTCATGGAGGACCAAAGTCATGTCCATGCCATGTCGCGAGGTTTGATGAGTTTTTCCTTATGCCATTTGTAGGAGAAATCGGGCATGTTAGGTGCATTCTGTATGTACACAGTAAAATAGCATCGGCGTTGAGGAAGATCTTATCCGATAACCTTTGTAGAGGTTGAGTCACAGGGAAGGCGTAAGCTGGTCTTGGGTTCTCGCTCTTGGTCATTCCCAGACAGCCGCCATCGCAAGCTCAGAAGCAAATTCCACGTTGGGTAGAGATAAACAGGGACAACTGCATGCAATTCACACTCTGGTCTAAGAGATTTACTTCAGTGTCCTTACGTAAGGTGCCAACAGACTTTATCCGTTTTGTAACGCTTCCCGCCTGCCCTGTTGTACCACGCGAAAGAGACAATTGACAGGTGCTGTACTCCAAAACTTCCGATGATCCCGAAATCAATTTGTCATTTAAACGAAGAAGAACCAACCAACACCTCAAGCAAATAGTTTCGTCTCGCGAGCTTTCGCTACTTCACCCCTCAAAATGACAGTGGCAACACTCTCACCAACATCGATCGGCCCCTCGGCACCCTTCCAAAACCCGATGCAAAGCCTATCAAAAACAATCAGTTCAATCCGTCCAATCTTCCCCTCTCTTCCAGTGCATTTCTCGCCAATAGTTCACGTGCGGGACCGCAGGCTGAACAATATCAAGAAGAACAATACTAAGCCCCTGGCCGCAGCCTCGTCTGTGCACACTATCACAGCACACCCTTTGATATTGTTCTTTGTCGCCCCAAACACCTGGATTTACACTTCGTATCGCCATGTCGCCTCTTAAATTATTTCGAGCACTTCTTCAAGTGTTTCCTCCATGATTTCAACAAGATACTCAATTCCTCTATACTTCAAAAATGGAACAAGACGTTAAATCATCGTGGAAACAACTCTTTCTCTTCACAAGACGGTCACACTCCGGTGCTTTAATCGCTGCATTGCTTGCGGCTGGCTTCTCAGCAGGCTTCAAAACTGTTCTATCGGTCATTCTTGGAAAAGTATTCGATATTATCGCGGGCTTTGGGAATGGATCGCTCAGCGGGGGTGATGCCCTTTCACAGGTGGGAAGATGGGCACTTGTCCTTGTAGGACTGGGCGTTGGCAATTGGATCGCAAGTACAGCGTTCCTTGCCCTCTGGGTCATGTTTGGAGAGCTGCAGGCATGCAGTGTTCGGCAAGGCATCTTTGCAAGTCTCCTCTCCAAGGACATGGCCTGGTTCGACTCTCAATCCGAAGGCATATCAAGTCTTCTCATCAGAATACAGACGTATGTATCCCTCTTCTACACTTACATATGACTAACAATCGATAGACAAACTCGCGAACTGCAACTCGCATCATCTCAAGTTCTCGGTCTTCTCGTTGGCGATATCATCACCTCAATCGCTTCCCTCGGCATCGCCCTCTACTACTCCTGGAAACTCACCCTCGTTCTCCTCGCCACTCTTCCAATCTCAGCAATCGTACTCTCACTCGCTACAAAGCGGCTAGAACCCGCCATCCAAGCACAGAAGCGTGAACTGGCAGTCGCTTCCAAGTTCGCCGTTGCTTCAATCACAGCCATCGATCTCGTCAAGGTCTTCAACGGATACGATCAGGAGGTCTGGCAGTATTACCCAGCTGCTAAAGCTGCAGCGAAGCAGTACCTGATCCAAGCGCAATGCAACGCTCTGCAAATGGGCTACGTTGCTTTCTGGGTCGTGGCCATGTTCGTTGTCGGTTTTTGGTACGGCGTTGTGCTCGTCAACAACGACGGTCTTGCCGCTGGCAGTGTTTTGACGACTTTTTATGCAACACTTGCAGCATTTCAGGGCATTGAGGCCTTGATGCCGCAGTGGTTGGTCCTCGCAAAAGGTATGTCGGCCGGTAGCTTCCTCTCCAGCATCACGCGGAATGTGAGGAACGGCGAAATCGTCAAGCCAATGACGGGAGCGTTGCGGCCCCTGAGTTGCAGCGGTGATATCGAATTGAAATATGTAAGTTTTCGCTGTGTTAATAAAGACAAAGACTGACTTGAACAGGTGAGCTTCGCATATCCCTCGAACCCGGCCCAAAAAGTGCTTCGCGAATCTAGCTTCTTCTTCCCCTCGGGTGAGATGACCTTTATTGTGGGAAGAAGCGGCTCTGGGAAGAGTACATTGGGCGACCTCATTGTTGGCTTCTATGAGCCCTTGAGCGGAAATGTTTATGTCGACAATAAACCCCTACAGGTTCTTGACAGACAATGGGTCTGCGAAAATATTACCTTGATTCAACAGTCCAGTATCTTATTCAACGAAAGTTTCTTAGAAAACGTAGCATTTGGCCACCACGATCCCGGAAGAGCAACACGGTCCGAAGTATTGCGAGCCTGTGATGCAGCATTAATGCAGTCGACGATTTCGGGACTTCCCGAAGGTCTAGATACCAATGTCGGCGCTGATGGATACAACTTGAGCGGTGGGCAGAAACAGAGATTAGCACTTGCCAGAGCTCGACTTCGAGACCCTCCAGTGCTGATCCTTGATGAGATTACAAGTGGTCTTGACCAGGTCAGTCGCGTGCTCATCATGGATGCGATCCGAGCATGGCGACGGGGCAAGACTACCATTATCATCACACATGATGTCGCCCAAATCGACGCCGATGACTTCGTCTATGTGATGGACAATGCATCACTCGTTCAGGAGGGATTTAGAAAGGATCTAGATACGCAAGTTGGTGGCACCTTTGCCACTCTCGCATCAACCGTATCAGACGAACCAGACACGCCGATAGATATCACCATCGACTCTCCCAACCCGCCTCTTTCTCCCCTTTCTCCCATATTTCCCCCTCCAGGTAGGACATCGCGTCTCTCACAGATAGTCGTCGGAGGATTGGAGTCTTTCAGTCCAGCCCCAACAAACGCTTCTACACGATTGACTCTGGGCACAAACACAGCAGCCGCTTTTCGCATGCGGACAGCTCGGGCTTGGGAGAGGGAAACCCTCACTGTAGCTATACCCGAACCTGGACCTGTACGATCACAGTCCGCCACCGACAACCATCCAATGGCCAGTTTCTACGACGAGAAGCACGACAGTGCAGTGAGATCTCACAGCAGTCTGGATGGTATGGAAATATCATGCACACTGGTGTCATTCGACGAACCAGAATATCTCTTTGGGGGAGCCGAACGTCCCAAGAGCATTAGAAGGCTAAGGCAAACCAGGTATAACGACAAGCTTCAGCCAGATAAGGTGGATGATAAAGACAGCGAGACTAAGGACCTCCCTCCACCAATGCCTCTAGCTTCAATATTGAAGACAGTCTGGCCAGCTTTGGGACGCGGGCATCGGCTTCTTCTTATCTTCGGAATACTGACCTGCCTGGTTGGAGCAGGCTCTATTCCTGCATTTGCGTATTGCTTCGCGCAACTCCTGGGCGCGATGTGGTCACAAGGTGACAAGCTAGCAGAGGGCAAGAGATGGGCTATCTATCTCATTGTCATCGCGGTCATGGATGGTGTTTGCACTGGCGGTGGTCGATATCTTCTTGAAATGGTGGGGCAAGCCTGGATCAACACCATCCGAGTCGAAGCATTGAAACGAATCCTCCGACAACCAAGAGCATGGTTCGATCGATCACGCAACTCTCCTGGCCGTATCAACGAGTGTCTTGACCGAAACGCCGAAGAGATGCGCAACATTGTTGGCAGATTCTTGCCCATCATCATCACAGTCACCGTCATGATCATTGCTGCTGTTGCTTGGGCGCTCGTCATCTCCTGGAAACTCACGCTCGTCACTCTCGCGCCGCTGCCTGTCGTTATGGGCGCAGTCAAAGGCTATACCATTATTAGTGGGAAGTGGGAGGCGCGCTGCAACAAGGGGGCCGAAGATGCAAGTGCAACTTTGACTGAGATCTTTGTCAACATCCGAGTCGTTCGAGCTCTCACTCTAGAAAGATACATGGGTGCGAAGTATATGAAAGCAGTGAGGCACACCCTGGGCCTGGGGCAGAAGAGGGCAGGGCACACCAGTACATTGTATGGACTGTACCAATCAGTCAACTACCCCCTTACAGCACTTGTGTTCTACTATGGAACTGTGCTTCTGGCGTCGGAGAGGGCGATCACAGCAACAGCCGTGGTAGCAGTAGTGAATCTGCTTCTGTTCAGCATGGGCACGGCGACGAGTATTCTTAGTACGATACCACAAGTCACGATGGCCCAGTCGACCGCCGCGCAGATGTTGGGGTACGCCAATATGCCTTTGGTACCCAAAAGCGAGCCTCGTGGATACTACAAGCCCAAAACACCGCTCCCAGTTCGACTTGACAATCTCGGGTTCTCATATAAGTTAAGCTCGGAGAGACCAGTCCTGCGAGGAGTGTCATTTGAGGTGGATGCTGGAGATTTTCTAGCGATTGTTGGTCGGTCAGGCTGCGGCAAGTCGACGGTGATCTCACTGATGTTGGGTCTCTGTGCTCCTACCAAAGCCAAGATCCTCAGCACAAGGCCACCATTAAGTTTTAATGGGTATTCCCATGCGCACGTCGATATGGAGCATCTCCGTTCGATGATGGCTTATGTGCCACAAACGCCGTTCCTTTTCCCAGCTACCATTGCAGAGAACATCGTGTACGGCTTAGGTGAAGTATCGCCCCTCCGTCAATTTCCTAGCATTCTAGCTGCTGCGAGAGCAGCCGGTATCCACGAGTTCATCACAACTCTTCCAGATGGATACAACACTCGAGTCGGCGATGGAGGTCAAGCCCTTTCAGGTGGCCAGGCGCAACGTCTCAGCATCGCGCGCGCACTTGTACGCAAGCCTCGACTTCTTGTGCTGGACGAGCCTACCAGTGCTTTAGATGCAGAGAGCGCGGAGATGATTCGACATACAATGCAAAAGATTGCGAAGAAGTCAAGGCGAGATATGGCGATTGTGGTTGTGACGCATAGCAAGGAGATGATGGCAATCGCGGATCGGACTGTTGTCCTGGAGAACGGTGTCAAGGTTGAGGAGGGAACGTATCATGATTTGCTGCAAGCCAGAGGTCCTTTTGCACAAGTGGTTGGAGATTTGATATGGGAGGGCAGCAAGGAATTTAATTGATGTTCACGGGCATTTGGATATTGTATATATATATAATTCTTCTTAATTTTGATGTTGAGGCAGTGGAGTTGAGATCAGATTCACCCCCACGATTTAAAGTTACTGTGGGCCCATTAAAGTCAGCCTCGAATGTTGATTGATCGCCGCTTGATTAATAAGCCGCTAAACCCAACAAGGGTCACGGGGATAGAAGTACGGCCCTAAAACGTCCCGAAGATTCCAACGTCGTCCCCATTTCATCTCATCGCCACCTTGAAACACGAAATACTCTTCATTCACGTATCAGCCCATTCACCATATTCGTTATTTACAGTCAATTTACTCGCGTCGCAAGCTAGTTTCGACCTACCAGACAGTCTCTCTCAAAGCCGCAGGGCTGACGTTGTTTCACTCACCTCTTCTCTGTCTCTCACTCATCCTCATATTCATCCACTTATACAATGACTGCGCAATCACCCCCCAAGCGCAGAAGTCGCTTATCCTCAACCGCCCAAGATAACGACGATGCAGCACTCAAGGTACATCCCTCCCCCTCTTCCTATTGAACCCCCACTTACACCCCCAGGCCCGTCGCGAACGTAACCGTGAAGCCCAAAACATCTTCCGCCGCCGCCGCCAAGCCGCCGAGGCAGCACAGGCCCAGCGCGTGCGTCGTCTGGAGCAGGTAGTCGAGGAGATGAGCTCCGTCTTCATGTCCTTCGTTGACGAGATGCTCACCACCGAAGCTGTGGTCAGAGCCCAGCCGAGTCTTGTTGGTAGTTTGAGGAGAAGTATGGAGAGGATTCTTGAGCTGGCGCATGAGGTTGTTGGACCAGAGGAGGATCTTGTGCTGATGCCGAGGGAGGGGGAAGATAGGAGGGGTGGAGGATCTGGATCGCCGGAGAGTGAGCAGAGTGAAACGACGGAGGATTCTTCGGGTTCGATGGCTGTTGCTGTGAGGAAGACTCAAGTTCAGACATTGACACCGCCTATGTCAACGGCTATGTCTTCGGTTTCTACGCCTACTCCACCATCTTTATCAACTTCGGCACCGGCTTCACTATCAACACCGCCATACTTCAACTCTCAACAACCACCAATGGCCAAATCCTTCAACTTACCAACATTCTCACTATCCCCTCAGATCTTCGGCAACGGCTGGCTCGGCACAACCCCTGCATCACCGGGCGATCTCGCCGTGCCCTCATCCACACAACACTCAACATTCTCATTCCGCCTCGCCTGCGACATACTAACAATAGCATGCCACCTCCTCGTAAACTCACCACCGCCTTACGCCATGTCAGCCTGTGAATCGCGCCTCTTCTGCAACACCCTCAAGGGCCGCGCAAAAGACGAGATGCTCACACGACTACGCTGGCTCATCGGTCCGGGTCGACATGAGATGTATCGCGTTATCGATTTACCGTACGGACGATATGGACAGTATGTTTATTCTCGCGCAGAGCTTAACCCTTCTACGGTAGAGGATATAGAATGGCCATGGCCTACACGACCGGCTGGAACGCGCATCGACCATTTCACGCGGTTCTTCAGCATCGTTGGAGTTGAGAAGCAACTCCTCGCACTTGGTGCTAGGATTGTGGATGCTGAAACTATGGAACTCAATCTGAATAACTCGCCGATGCCGAATGTTGGACACACTGTACCGAAACAACCCGAGAGCTGGAGCTTTGTCAATTGTTTCTCGTTTCCCACTGAACCAAAATCTGGTCCTGTTACAGTGCGGGTTAGTATACCAGCTCTTATAAAGTCACTCGCTACGAGATCTCTTTGTTTGATGCGGGGACCGGGAATACCGAGGTCCGAGATTGGGAGTGCGATTGAGGAAGCCATCATCAAAACAGGATGAGCACACGATAAAAGTTTATGATTTGACGAGTTTGGAAACGCATCATAGGATTGGATATCGCAAAATTTGGGATGGAAGCGTTGTTATTATGGCCTAGTAAAGCGACCTGTATATTGGTATCTTGAATCCCTTTATCTGTCATAACGTCGTAATCTGTCATTTACAAGAAAACAGGTCTTTCCTTCACACCTGTCTACTATATACCCTCCTCTTAAATATCATTTGTATGAACGCACAAACGTGCTCATTATCGTCTCTTAGATCTTAGTAGTCCCTCCCAGGAAACATGATGCCTCCATGAACTCTTCTGCTCCTGCTGTCGTCGCTGAGCCGGTCGTGCCGGATCTCGAGGATTTGCTCGTCTCGGTTGTCGAGGCCGTCGTGTGTTTATGGCGACGAATTTCATAAATTCGGCGTCTTGACTTGGTGGCAGCGTACTGTTTTTACCACTACTGGTCCTTAGAATTGGGTCGTCCTTTAGTGTCTTTGGGTGAATCTCCAAAATGGCGCCTTTGTGCTCTCTTCCCAGCTTGGCCGCCTCTACGAGGCCGTGCAAGTCGATATCTCGCTTCTTCTTTTCCTTCTCTTTCATCATTCGTGTTTGGTCTGATCGCTCCATTGCTTCACGCTGTTCTTGTGTCATGGGTGTCTCGTCCTCATCGGGCTCGTGGGTCAAGTGCATCATGTGAAGGATATTCTCAACAGGACCCATCTCTTGCTCTGGCTGTTGGGCTTCCTTATCATCGGCCTTCTTACGCTTGAAGCAGCTGAAGGCCTTTGATAGGAGCGCGCGAGTCGGTCGCCAAATTGTGAGCCAACAGTCCGAGATCAAGTTGAAAAGGCTCTGGACCAGGCTATCAGGTATCTGTCGAATCAAAGCTCCCAGTGGAATTGACATGACACCAAAGAGCAAGCTCCATCCCCATTGGGCACCTGTAAGAGGGGTTGTGTCAAATGCCTCACCTCCCTTAAAGACGATGATGAACTGGCCGGCGATAGTGATAAGCTGAACACCGATGAACCAAGGGTTGCGCAGGAATCCTTGATACCAAATATCCAGCTTGTTATCCACCCGGCGACAGTTGTGCTGATTAAAGAACTGCATCCAGACGTAAATGTTGAGCACCAATGTCTGGAGCTTCTCAATCTCGAATTCAGTGTCGGGGTTGAAGAGATCCCATCCAGCGTAGTGAACAACAAAGACGACTATCAACTGATAGATGGCTTGGCAAATTATCATCTTCCACATGGTGATGGAAATTATGGAGGCGTTGCGAGGTTCGGGCTTTCGCTTGAGGAAGTCGGGCGATGGGTGGTCAGTAGCATAACCAAGAGAAGCAAAGATATCCATGATCAAGTTAATCCAAAGCAATTGAACGACGGTGAAGACAGCGTCGCCGACAAGTTCAGAAACAACAGTAATGATACCTGCAGTGATATTGATGGTGAATTGGAACTATCATCTGGTTAGCAAAGAACTTGGCCATATTGATCGATAACCTTACCTGGCAAAACTTCTTGACGGAGTCATTCACAGTTCGACCCCAAGCCAAAGCCTTGACAATGGAAGCAAAGTTGTCGTCGAGAAGGATGATAGATGCAGCCTCTTTGGCTACCTCAGTACCCTGAATGCCCATAGCAAAACCGACATCCGCCGCCTTCAGTGCCAGACCGTCATTCGTACCATCACCGGTCACCGCTACCGTCTCATTCATTCGCTTCAGGTGGGTTACGAGAAGTAACTTATCCTCTGGGCTTGAACGAGCCAAGACTTGGAGTCTTGGAATAACAGCATCTAGCTGCTCAGGTGTCAAGTCTCTGAATGTTGGGCCATCCATGGCAATGCCACCAGCTGTGTAGATACCACATTCTGTTGCAATGGCCTTGGCGGTCAAGAAGTTGTCACCTGTAACCATGCGAACGAACACTCCAGCAGCCTGACATTGGCGGACTGATTCCACGACCTCGGGGCGCAATGGGTCACGAATGCCGAAGGCGCCGATGAGGATCATTCCAGAGGCCAGCCATTCTAGATTAATGTTATCAGGGTCGTCGTCTGGACCCTCAAAGATATCCTGCGCGCTAAAGTCTCGGTAGGCAATAGCGACAGGTCGGAGCATCCTGTTGGCATAATCTTCAATTGTGTTACGATAGCTTGCACGGTCATTCTCCGAGAGTCGTGCAATTGGTACTCTGAAAGTTGGGTCCAAAACAACAAAAGCACAATATTCAAACACAACTTCCGCTGCTCCTTTGACGAGAAGTCGGTAGCGATCCTCATTAATCTTGACCAGGACTGCCATCCATTTTCGGGATGAGTCGAACGGTAGGATCGCAACAATGGGACAGTTGGCCCTCTCCTCGGCCAAATTGTTCATACCGAGATGCTGACGACTGAAGTGAAGCAAAGCAGTCTCAGTGCTTGAGCCCATAAAAGTCGTGGCACCCGAGTCACCATTCTCAAAGGCCGTGGAGTTGAGAGCGATACTATCCTTGATCAACCTCCGACATTCTGGAGAGAGTGACTTTGCCATGTCAATTGAACTGTCGTACTTGATAGTCGAGGCACGCGACATGGACGAATCGGGATCCGGAACAACCAGGTCGGTATCGTCAAAGTAAGACTCCAAGCCAACACGTCCGGCCACGACAGTCATCTTGTTCTGTGTCAGGGTACCTGTTTTGTCGGAGCAAACTGTCGTTGCATTCCCCATAATCTCACACGATCGAATCAATCGCACCAAATTGTTATCTCGGAGCATACGCTTCGTAGCAAAGGCCAGTGCAACGGTCACATTAAGCGCCAAGCCTTCTGGAACAGTGATGACGACGACCGTGACGGCCAGAATCAGAATATGTAAAAAGTCTTCTGCCTTCTGAGAAGGCCCACCAGTAACGGTGTGAAGAGTGACCATGAAACGGATGAAGAGGACAAGGAAAAAGATGGAACCAGCAATGGCACCGATGACAATAAGTTGCTTGCCAAGACGGCCAAGCTTCGCCTGGAGTGGTGTTTCCTTGACGTCGTCTCTCAACGACATGAGGATACGGCCATAGGTCGAGTTGACGCCAACAGCAGTGACGAGATAGTAACCAACACCGCGCGCGACAGTAGTCCCACTGAGAATGAAGGGGTCAATTCGAGATGTCGCCGAATGGTTTGGCCTTGGTACGGTCTTGTGCACAAGGTCAGCCTCTCCAGAGATGGAAGACTCGTTCATCTGCAGACTCGAAGCCTGCACAAGGACACCATCCACGGCAACAACATCTCCAGCCTCAAGGTGTAAAAGATCACCAACGACAACATCTTGAACGGGGATGCGCTGGAGTTTACCCGAGCGCATCACCGTTACGTCCCTTTGTTGCTTTCGTTCATTGACCTTCTTAAACTTGTAATTCTTCTGCCAATCGGTCGCTGCGCTTGCAATGATAATGACGAGGATCGCAACGACAATCGTGACACCATCTACCCACTCGACACGCGATGCGCCTATCGACTTGTCGACAGACTGGTAGATACCAATAGCGAGTGAGATGGAGGCAGAAATGGTTAACAAAATGATAAGCTTATCATTGAATGCTATCCATAATAGTCTGAAGAAAGATTTTTGTGCTATTTGCGGAAGACGATTATCCCCAAATACTCGTTTTCGATCGACAAAGTGGTTGTCGCGATGTTCGAACAGCCCATTATGTAAGAGCGGCGGCGATGGTGGAGGTGACGCAGCAGAGAGAACTGGTGGTCGTTCAAGGCTGCCAGAGGCTACAGCTTCATCCAGAGTGACAGTACCCTCCAATGTTGTTTCGTCGGCGCTTAGTCCAGCTGAAATATCGGTACGAAGGCCAGCGGCTAAACCCAACAAGCCTCCAAACGCGCGCAGAGCGGAGATATTCTTGGCGGTCAGGAGTCGATGTAGTTGAGATGGGGTAAAAGCAAAGTTGTTTCCCTGAACATGTTCGTCATCGTGCAAATCGAAGGGCGGGTCGACGTCGTGAGGTTGAGGTTGGGAATTCATCGTGTTATCAGTCTTCGGCTGGTCGTGACTACAGTGGGCGTGCAAAAGTTCCGACACATTCCGGATCCACCCCAACTACCTCGATCTCATACTGCCATTTCGGATTGCAATTGCATGGGCAATAATTCTTCAATTTAGATAATATATATATCAATCTGTAGAGACTTAAAAGGAGATTCCAGAAATATAGTTTAATACTTGGTATAATAGCCATTTGCGTTGTAACAGGCGTTCAACCGGTCGGGCATCGATTTTATCACGTTTTTGACCACTTCATCTTCGACCTCCGACCAAAGCTCCTCTGCAGCTTCAATCAGCCGGGCCAAAGCTGCTGCAGACTTTGGATAAGCAGCAATTTCAGGATATCTATCGCATATCCTCTTCTTCAGGACTTTCCATAGATTTTCAATGGGGTTGAGATCAGGGCTGTATGGCGGCCAGTCAGCAAGAAAGACTCCTGTTCTTCTTGCCCAGGGCAGCAGCCAATTCTGAACTTTCCGGCATTTATATGTACGGGCGTTGTCGTGCTGAAAAGTCTCTCCTTCCTCGACCAGTCCGGGAAGATAAGACTGTAAACAGGATAGAATAATCCTTCCTGTTACGCCTCCCCTCTCAGACTCAGGATCGCCGGCAAGAGGGACGATCCTAGACGGCTTATCATAGTGAATTGCACCAAAGAACATCTGAGAATGTCTGGCAGGCCGTCTACAGGGCTGCACCTTATCTTGATGGAGTCTCTCACCCTGTGGTGTTGTCAAAAGAAGCTTCTGAAATAGAAGGGGCTAGACTTACAGCAGAGTAAAATGACCACTTGGTATAGTCACCGTCTGTACGGTCGATAGAGACCTCATCAGAAAACCACCAGCTATACCAAAAAGACTCATCTTCATGACGATATTTTTCACAGAAAGCTTTTCTCAATTGAGCACTTTCTTCGCTGAGAAACGGGCGTCGAAGTGCAAGCTTGTGTTGTATCTTCTGATTGATAAGCCAGCGACGAATTGTGCTTCTTTTGCAGTTCAAACAGGTGCAATCAATTATTTCTTGGTATGAGATAAAAGCGTTTCTTCCAATGAGTATTTTGATATGATTTTTATCTATATCTGATAGTCGTGATGGCCTTCCAGAGCGAGGTAAATCTTTTGCTGATTGTTGGTGACGGTACCGTCGAATGACTCCATAGATCGCGTGCCGACTTAGCCCCTCACTGTCTGCGATATCCTGCACGCGAACACCTGATTCGTACATCGTCACAAACCTCGTTCTTTTGCAAGGAGAATGATGTGTTTTTTGCCGTATTCGAGGCATCTTTTCCTATAGAAATAACGCGATGAAGTTGTGGTGTTGATGTTGATGTTTAATTGAAAGCGGGGTCCGGACCTCGGATGTGTCGGAACTTTTGCACGGGACTGTACCAGCGTCAAAGTTGGAGTTGGAGTTGGACCCTTCGCCAGAGCCGCCATAGCGTGAATCAGGAACACTCGTGATGTCGTCCATCAATGGAAACCTGTGTTGGAAGTCTGTGAGCAGCCGTTGATCCAGAAACCTGGTACGGCACTGAGCCACAGAAAGAAGTTGAATGAAAACAAACCAGAAGAAAGTGGAAGAGATTCAGTGGTGGATCGAAGACGCTTTGAAGGGTGGAGGAAGCACTGAAATCATGCTCAAGCTCTAGCGTGGGGGAGGCTTTTACAAAACTCTACCCCGAAAACGTTAGAGCCAGCCAGGCCCAGCAGGAAAATAAAGAACCTTAAAGAGAAACTCGTCATACCTGGACGACTCGTCTCCACCAGGAAATGACCTTCACCTGGGCAGAGTTAATTGTGAGTGGTGCTTGGCAGGTCAATCTCTATTCTGTGGCGGCGCACTCTGTCTGGGGGTCCCGGGCGGTCCGCCTTGACAAAATACGCCATATCCAGTAACAATCAGCAGCGACACGTCGCTAACCCACTGTAACTGGTCCGCCTTACAGAGGACCGAGGGCCCCCCGTAGTTGGGGGATTTTAGGACTGGGAACTGATATTGTCACTGCCCATCTTCTCGGAAGGGCCGAGACTCTAGGGGGGCTAGGTAATCCTGAAAATGCTTGGTGCTGCTGCTATCGTGTCTTGGCGGTCGTCTTGGCTGCAACGTCGTTTGTGCTAAGAGAGACAGAAGCTTTGGTTAGCGGGAGCGTGTCGTCGTCATCACAGCGGCCTTGGTGTTGGAGTCGTCGAAGCCATAGATGTTAAGAAACGTCGTTGAATTAAGAATTAAACACTAGGAAATAACGAGGAATGAGGCAGATCATGCACATTGCTGAAGCCCCGAACCTTACACGCGGCCCCTGGGTCAAGCTTGACCTTCCTTGTCGGTCTCTAGCTGAGTAATAAAAGAGGCAACCCAATTTTCTTGGCGAAAAACAACCACGCCAAGAAATTTTACTGTATCTTGAGGCCAACACAAAAGCGAAGTTTGGCCTCTGCCAAGGTTTTCCAAGTGGTCTACCAACGAGTCAGATGATGGGAGTATCATAACAATTCTAGAAAAACTGGAATAATTGACTCAAGTCGATGACATTTACAGTGAGCAAAACAGATCAAATACGCGGATCCGGGCGCATCTGATAACCCGAGGCCCCATAGTCGAAAAGATGCCCAGACTTTGGGGTCCAGAAATAAACCGAGATGATGAGCCACGATAGGAGGTTGGAGAGATGCATATTATTGGGTGGCCAAGTTCCCAGAACTACATGATACTTTGTGTACGGTTAGAAGTAACTATTGTAGTTGAGTTGGCAAACTTTCAGTTACAATGAGGCGGCTTTCAGCGATGATGAATGGCTACCTAGCCACGATGAAACGGTGACGATTGAAGCCGTTGACAACAGTCAAGCCCGCCGTTACGACCAAAAAGTCAAACGGCACAAACTCAAGAGTAACTTTCATCTTCATCAAAAAAAGCAAGAAGTACAGACACAACCCACGTGCAATGAGCACAAACTCACTACACCAAGACTAAACTCCATCTCACTGTGTCGTCTTGTCCCTACAGCCTCACATATCACAATCCATCCGTCTATCCAAAACCATCAATAACACAAGTGCACAAGTCAATTTATGCTCGTGACTGCTCCTAATACTCTCCTCTCATTTGCGTCACCTCTATCTTCCACTCAGCACGATCCAGATCAGTGGTTAAGACATTCTGATCGCTCTCCACTGTAAAGGTAGAATATAGAATACCATATCCTTCACTTTAAACCAATCTCGTCTCGTCTATCCAATTAATGCCTCCCTCTCTTCCCCGATCGCTTCAGCGCCCTGCCGTCCGAGACATGCATTCCCAGACGAACATTTCCAGACTATTCGTTGCACAAGAACTCACATCGACTCCGGGATATTTGCACGACCCTAAATCCAATCCTGTTCAACAAACTTCCCATCGAGACTGTTTGCACACAGTGATACAATACAGAATATAGGATCATGTAAACGGTAGAGACATGCCAAGTCGTTAGATGTTAAGCTTGAATCAAAGACATGGCGCTGTCTTTCGCTTCGACCTCCAAACATTGAGCACATTGTGTCTTGTCCTGTTCAGTTCTGTTTCGTTTCATTTCTTGATGGATCTCATATTACCCCTAACTTACCCTATAAACACTCCCAACAGACAAACCTCGTTCAAAAGGCCGCCCTATCGGACGGACATGATACTCCAAACAAGCAACTCCCCGTATCAAAGATCCCGCCGTTGTCCTCCATTTGTTTCCGATTCATCCCAAAATGCCTCGACCTGACTCGCTGCTGTGGTTTGCCTTGAAGGGCGACATCCGTTGCGCGATACCCGTTGGGATTCTCGTTCTGGGCTCTGAATCTTATTCCGGTTCACAAAGACCTTGAATCCACATGGCCGTCCTTGACAGGATGGGTTCTGTGAAACGGGTTCGGTGTTGAAGGTCTCGAACATGTTCTTGGTATCGACTTGAGATTGCGTGGATGTGATTCAGAGATAAAGCTCTTCAACTTCCCCTCGATCTTGAGTAACTTCTTCAAACAACTCACACCATCAACTATGGAGCTACCAAGAGCTTTACTCACGCTATTTCTTCAGTTCATTCTCTTGCCTCTAGTAACAGCTCTACCACCTCCCTTGAACCCTCGAGATGATGAAGTCTTTGCTCCAAAAGTCATGATCATCTCAATGGTATGCCCCCTCCCCCATCTCAAACCACCTCTCTAACACTGCACAACAGTGGTCACCCGAAGCTCAGATCTGGCACGATCGCCTCCCCGACTCAAAGCTAGGCAACCTCTCCTCCAAAACCATTCACTCCCCTGGCCTCTCCATGCTCTTCCCCTGCGCCACCTGCACCGAAGATGGAAGTATCTGCCATCTCACCATCGGCGAGGGGGAGATCAACTCCGCCGCGTCACTCATGGCTCTCATGCTATCACCAAAGTTTGACTTTCGCCATACCTACTTCCTCATCGCTGGTATAGCTGGGGTGAATCCCAAGTATGGTACTCTTGGTTCAGTTGCTATTGCTCGTTATGCAGTCCAAGTTGCTTTGCAGTATGAGATTGATGTACGGTCTCTTCCTCCAGACTGGCCAACTGGTTACATCTCATATGGTCGTGACCAGCCTTACCAACAGCCCTTTATCACGTATGGCACTGAAGTGTTTGAACTCAACGCTCAACTTCAAGATACTGCATATAAACTCGCTTCAAAGGCTCAGCTGGAAGATGCGAATGGCCCAAAGGAGTACCGTGCACTTTACCGCCGAATGGGCGAGTCCTATAAAAGTGCCTCCCAACCTCCATCTGTCATCAAGTGCGACTCTGCTACGAGTGATGTATACTACTCTGGTAGCAGACTCTCTGAGTCTTTCGAGAACACTACAAAAGTGTGGACGAACGGCACTGGTATCTACTGCATGAGCGCTCAGGAGGATAATGCAATCTTGGAAGTCCTCGTCAGAGCAGCGATAGCAAAGATCTGCGACTTCTCAAGAATCATGATCTATAGAACAGGCAAGCCCTCCCATAGCCCCTATCAACTATCTCACTAACCCTTGCAGGTTCCAACTTTGATCGTCCTCCTCCTGACTACACCGACCTAGACCATCTCACTGCAGCCCAACAAAACGGCTTCTCAATCGCCATCGCCAACATCTTCAACGCCGGCATTGAGATCGTCAAAGGCATAACTGAAGATTGGGACACCACGTTCAAAGATGGCATCAGAGCAGAGAACTACATTGGAGACATCTTTGGCAGTCTCGGTGGCGAGCCTGACTTCGGCTTTGGAAGTTTGACTCGTGGCGAGCGCATTGCGCCAGATAGTAAAGGCAGTGAGTTAGCGAATAGGGAGATGGATAGACGGAGGATCCTGACGCAGAAACCATTGAGAAAGATTTAGAGACTAGTGAAGGGAGTGGCAGTTTGGGTTGTATCATTTAGTGTCGATTATCTTGGGAGAGCGTATGGTATCATGGCGAGGTCAAACTTCTTTCTATTTTGTTTTAATATACACTTTTCTTTCAACCATTCTGAAGATGTTGTCATTCTCAATCGCTTCCGCTATCGTTTCTTTTGTATCACTGTCACTTTACTTGTATGATCCAATCAGTTTCGCAAAACGGGTCAATCTATGATCCTAGGAAGGCGTCTTTCCCCCCCTCTTGCATCAACAGGCCGAATGGCTTCATCAATTCACATATATAAACATCATCTCGCATCACTACAGCTTTTCAAGTCACGTCACCACGGCCCATCGGCCCAAACGTCATGCTCATTCGTGGCACACAGTGTCGCCCAGCCTGACGCAACCCACAGCACAGTAAAATGAAGGAACAAAAGGAGACAGCTCGTGCCTAAGCCCCACGCTCGTGGACCGCTTGTGAAGTAATCTCCGTAGCCTTGCCTCAGAACAGGAGAGTAACTCGTCATATGCGGTAAGCCAAGATCTAGCGCTGCAATGCAGACGAGCGGAATGCCTACGTTGGGTTGGACCATGAGTGGCCAGCAGGGACGTGTGAGAGTGATCATTTTGATGCCAAACAGGCCGAGGCGAAGTGTATAGCTTAGTAGCGGAGAGTTATCGCCTGCCAGATGCATGAAACGGATGATGAACACAGTTGCTCTCCGTCTAAGAGCGTCAGCTGTGGTCGTAGGCGGGGGCATCAAAAGTGGAGGGCTTTGGGAGTTTCGTCTCTCGTGCATCTCTGAGTGCTCAGATGCGTCGCTGACGCTCACGGCAGGTGTCACGAAGGATCCACGACGACTTTCCTGGCTGTGAGACATGACCATGGACTGCGAGCCACGATGTCTCGATAGAGACTGACGGTGCGGATCCAGGCGAGAACTTTGTCCACTCTTAGTAGGTGACAAGTCTCTCGAAGTAGTCCTAGCCAGAGCACCGAGCTCTTCAAACTTGTCCGATGTTGACGTTTGATGACGATGTCGAGGGCCTGTAGAGCTGTAAGAGTAGGTTTGTTACGACACAAGAAAAAGAAACTTACCTGGAACTGGAGTACTCGGGGGAGCGGGCGAGTCCAGATTTTGTATGCGAGTTCCGATCCCGAGATTTGGCGCAGGCTCCTGACTTGCACCATTCTCGAAGGTCATTGACTCGCCTCGCATGGCTTTGAGAACCTCATTGGCACTAGGTCTTTCACCAGGGTTAAGAGCCAACAGTCTCTTCAAGAGTTGGTATAACTTTGAGGGAAGATCTGGGCGCTCACGTCGCTCATCCTGGAACCCTTGCCAGTGGGTGATCTCTGCTCGAAGTTCATCCACATCTTCGAGTTCTTCTTGCAGAGCATTTGCGCTCTGATAAGGAAGTCTCCCGAAGCACATAAAGTACAGGATCATACCAAGCGAGAAGACATCCGACTTTGTGGTGAAGTTTGCATATCGACCTGAGGAAACATCCATTTTGAGGACCTCGGGAGCGCAGTACGAGATGGTTCCGGTAGTGCCTGAAGACTTGCGAACGACATTTTCGGGTTGAACTTCACCGAAATCGCTGATGAGGCATATCGTCCTGCTACCTTCGCGATGAAGCAGACAATTACTTGGTTTTAGATCGCGATGGATGTAGTTGGCTGCATGGAGGTACGCCACACCGGAGGTGATATCCTTGAACAGCGCGTAAATCTCATCAAAAGGGAGCTTGCGGTTGCCATTTAACAAATCGACAGGAGTGTCGAGTTGGCCCTTTGACCGGCGACGCATCTGAGCCTTGAGTTCCTCTTTGGTCGCCTCGCGTGGAGCTCCGCCGATGATGTACTGTTGGAGGTCACCACCATTGCAGTATTGCTGGAGGATGAATGCGCAGGCAACACTGGGTCCAAATCGGGTGAGCCTAACATCCTCGAGCCAGACATGCCGATACGATACGAGGTTTGGATGAGAAAGCTTAGCAAGAAGTTCGACTTCGATGAGAACCTTCTCAAGCCAGTCGTGATCATCTCCGACCGGGACTCGTTTGCAAGCGAATTGACCCAGAGCGCATCCATCAATTTCGTGCCGTACAAGAAGCACGACACCTTTGCCTCCCTTTCCTAAAATTCTTTCTTCGACGAAAAATGTGTTGAAGTAGTTTGGACTGAATGCATCTCGCCGTATTCTGCTGCCTTCCGCTTGCGCGACACCGGGTGTACTCGACACAAACTCGGCCTCATCTGGACCTGGAGATGGCGATGTCTGATTTGTTGTCGGGCTACTACCGCCAAAGGCAGGACCAAAAAGTCTTCTTACTGGACTCGGTGGAGGATGATCGGCAGAATTATCGTTATTCGCGTTGGCAGCTCGGAGCATACGAAAGTAATCGGGATCGACATAGGTCTCTTGGCGAGCACCAAAGGAATCATAGCTTCGATCGGAAGTATTCTCGGAACGAGTAAGCGGCTGATGGCATGTAGGACAAGTCGAGATGCCTCTGATCTCGAGTCGATGTGATTGAGAATCGCGAACAACGATAGCGTTGTGGTGACGGCTGCAAGTACAAGGGTTAGTTGGTTAGCTTGCTATAGATACCTACCTCGCACAACAAACAAAAGGAAGGGTGATGACGTACAGAACAATCTCTCTGCCCTCATGGGGCTGGTATGGAATTAGCGACATGTCCTTGGTACGGGAGCGTCAGATACAAAATCCAGGACCGCAATCATGGTAGAGATGATGCGATGGGGAGGTTGAGGATTTTGTGTTGGAGCTGTTGGATCAAGTGGGAATGGAAGTGGAAGTGGAAAGTTTCGCGGGGAAGCTGTACAGTGGTAGTAAGTGGTGTTGTTGATCGATGCTGACAGGGATCGGAAATATCGAGGTAACGTGAACAAAAGCACGCAACAGTACGACTCGAAAGTCCATAAAATTACAATGAGACCTTTTGAGTCATTAGCTGCGATTATTACATCTTCTGTAGATATACTTCATTAAAAAGTCAAGTGTTTAACTGCTTTGTACTGGTGACAGCTCCCGACTACCTATGAACAATTGCTCTCAAATAACAAAGTGGAACCTTAAATATTGCTAATGCGTGGATCATCAGGCACTCCGACTGGTAGGAAACTTTGTAATTTACATCTTGACGGGGAGTACTAGGCTATGAACTCACCTGTCAGCAAACCAATAGAATAAATAAACATACCTACTTATAAGATTTTGGAAATCAACTCTCTCTTTCAATGATTTATTCTGCGAAAGGCGCGTTTGACTTGAACACAGGCTGTCAGATTTGAAGTCTAGGGTATGTTCCTTCCACACACCTCGACCAACAACTCCTTCCCCACTATCGTGAGGCTTCCCAATTACACACAACCACTCACTCTCTTTTGTCCCGAACAACTTACTACCATGTCAGATCTCCGACAAGCGTGTGATCGTTGCCACAGCAAGAAGTTGAAGTGTACAAAGATCCCAGCATCATCAGTCTGTACCCGATGTGTCAAAGCTGGAGTTACCTGTCTCTTCAGCCCTCCCACTCGATCTCTACGCCATCCTGACAATGTTGCCTTCAACTGGTCTATGCTTGGCTTGGACGAGCCTGCAATCGACCCAGTTCCAAGCATTAATCTGGATCAATTTATCACAACGCCGCCTGTTAGCGAAGATACAGACCCACCTCAGCCTGCTCAAGTCACTGAGATATCTCAGTTGACAGATCTCATGGCTGGGCTGGACCGTCTACAGACCAACTTTCCAACTTCGCAACGAGATCATTTATCCATACGCGAGCTCACTGATTTTATGAAGCGATGCAGGTTTGATCTTGGATCATTCCTTGAAGATCTACTGCAACGTTCTCAGAAGCTGCTTCACTTATATCCCGAAGTCCTTAAACGGCTTGAACCTGAGGACATCAGCTGTGATGCTCCTGACTGCATACATAACGCACAAAAGCAATTCTCACCTTCAAAATCACGAATTTCAATCGACCAGTCTCTCATTCACCTCATCATGGCCTGCCATCTTCGGCTACTGGATATCTTTGACATGATCACTAACCATGGGCGTATGTGTGCTCATGCTGTACCGCTGTTACCCAGAGAGCACGAGCCCAAATTCGATATGCCCGAGATCAAGATTGGTTCTTTTGTTGCCCCGAAGCTATCTGCAGCTTCCATGATGATCGCAATGGTGATCGAGCTTCAGCATTCTCTCAGCTCAAGGGCAGAGCAACTGGAGGGTGCTGTATCATTAGCTGTCGGCAATGAATCGAAGGCAGCAAAAATCATCAGTCTTCAATGCGAGTCACTGAAAGAACGAGCTTCAGACACTCTTGAGGGTCTATGTTCTCTTAGAGACAACCTTATGAAACTGGGTGTCATCAGATGAAATCCTTTCGCCTTTCACTTCAATATACACTCAAGGGGCCTGCAGATGAGAAGCGCAAGCCTGGTACTTAAGCTAAGAGAAGACAGAAGACATGCGTATGAGGTTCTTTGTCTTGCGGGTGCCTTGGACACTGGGAATGCATGGGAGTCAACGGGGCAGCTCATTCTTCGTGTGCAAGAAAGGCAGACAGTGGCTGACATGTCAAACGGATATCAATGCTGGCTTCTGATGCAAGGAGCCTGAGAAGGGCCGGTTTGATTCATCGCCTGCCCTATGAGTTTGTTGGGCTCCTTCATCTGGCCTTTCGATGGAGCATGCCCTTCAATCGGAAACACACATCTGAGGTGGTTTTTGGCTCAGGCAGACAATGTCTACATGTTTGTGACACTGATCGATCACTAGAAAACGTCAAGGCAGCAGAAGACTTGTCCTACTGCCGCCTTACAATACTGTCCAAGATGTTACAGCATTGCCACTTTGAGATCCGCCCCCAAGCAACAAACCCGATTGCAACACAAACTCACAATGTTTTACAACCAGAGAAACCATGCTGCCAGTTTATCTGCATGTAGCTGTTGCAAGCCAGTTATGCACCACCATCTCATTTGTTCTGTTATCGCAACGCTTCGCCGTGGCCGAGATACCATCGTTGTCATTCTCCACTGTGTGTTCTCCACGAAAGAGATTCTGTGGATAACATTGTAGGTGACATTTGCGGCTCGCGGGTACACGACGCCCAACGCCAGTACAGAAACACGGGTAAGCGCGTGTAACCCAGCTATAGGGAGTGGAAATTCAACCTTTGGCGATGGCATTGGCTGTCCGATCATGGAGTCGCACGGAAGTTAAGGCTGAGGGGTCGGGGTTACGGCCTAAACGAGAAGTCCTCTGCAGGTTGTTTCTTGAGTCGAATTAAAGTGATACCGTCAGAATAGGTACCGAATTTGGTGCCGCTGTCACACCACGTGAAATTCTATGGGTGGTCAGACTGGGAATTCTTCCGATGTTATGTGAACAACCTCAGTTCATGGCTGAATATACGAGACTACCCTCACTGCTGAGAAGATGAAAGAGCGCGGGGAAATGTCTTAGTCAAAGCCATGGGGGCACCTCCGCATTAGAGAAATTCCCCAAAGCCGACGGATATTGCGAGGAAATAGACCGGACGTCAACTCCATGACTCGGCCGAGACTATCTCAGCACGCCATGTCTAACAAACCGGGTGATCAGGCTGTTTCAAGCAAGACCCCTGTCCAATAAAATTGGCAGACCCATGCGAAAACAGGACCCTTTGCGAAGACAACGTGCTCTAATGTCATGTAGGTAGACGGAGTTTATGGCTGAACCCGAACGCGAGCGAGGAGCCGAAGAAGAGGGAGGGGGAAGAAGTGCTCCGGCCGAGGTTCGTTGCATTGGAAGAGGAGATCTCCAACAGATTTAGACGGAAATCCGAATTGGCGGAGGACCCTGTTACATTGCTTCAGGCTATGTTCAAGGATGTAGGGACAGCTCTGCTTTTTCTCTGTTCTCTTCACTCTTATTCCTTCTGTGCCTCGCTTCACGCCATAAGTCTCTCCTATGAATGCACACTGAACTTGTTTGTGTTTCTCCATCCGCAAACGAGAACAGTTCCTCCCGGTTTGCGAAACAAACAAACTTGAATCTGTTCTCAGACAGCTATTTACCTCGTAACTGGCTTCTGTGAGGTCTTCCAACCTCATTAATCCATTCGTTCGTCCGTCTCGTCAGGTCACCGAATTCCAAATATCGGCGAATCAATCACCTCGTCTTCCGCAGACAACTTTTACGAAAATTGAACCTGGCCGACTTCAGTGGAGAGGAACCACAGAATAGAATTTGCGAAAATCCGGGGAGACGAAACGCAAAATCTCCACCAGCATAACCTGGGAATTACCCAATACGGACTATCTCCGACTTCAATAGTAGTTCAACAGACAGCTGAGACGTTCAAGATGAGCAGAGAAGATGACTTGACTCACGAAGAGTCAAGATCTCATACCTTGACCCGCGAACCAACACGTGAAGAAAAGACCCGGGAGGCTATTGCCGAAGGTCACGATGCAGACATTCCCAGCAATATTGGCTTTATACCTACTCCAGCAGATGAACAAAGACGAGCCAGTCTCACGAGCCATAGACGTGCAAGCCATGCAAGGGAAAGAGCTTCTCTCGACCCAGAGAAGCACGGAAAGGAAAACGGATTCGTGAGAGATGAGGAAGAGGGTGGTTCGCAAACGCAGAGCGAGAGCGATATTGTTTGGTGGGATGGTGATAAGGATCGCCAGAATCCGTACAATTTTGCAACATGGAAGAAGGTTCTCAACTGTGTGCTCGTTTCAGCTCTCACCTTCGTGACTCCCCTAGCTTCTTGTAAGTGGCTTTCTTCCGCATCCTTTTCGATATCATGGTCTTCGATGGACTACTGAACGATGAAGACATGCTAACAGGACATAGCCATGTTTGCTCCCGGAGTACCTCAACTTATGGTCGAGTTCGGTAGTCAAAGTCGTGAACTAGCATCCTTCTGTGTGTCAGTCTACATTCTCGGTTTTGCTGCAGGTCCCATGATCTTCGCTCCTCTATCCGAACTGTATGGACGTCAAGTGGTCTATCATTGCTGCAACGTTGGCTTCATCGGTATGAAATACACCCTTACTACCTCTGGGCTTCTCTAACTCTCTCAGTATTCGTCATTGCCTGTGCCAAAGCTCCCTCGTTGAGCAGTTTCATCGCATTCCGTTTCCTCAGCGGCACATTTGGCTCGACACCCATCACCAATGGCGGCGGTACAATCGCGGATATGATCGTTCAGGAAAAGCGTGGTGCAGCAATGGCCAGTTTCAGCATTGGGCCTCTTCTTGGTCCCATCATTGGCCCGGTTGTTGGTGGTGTCGTAACCGATGCCCTTGGCTGGCGCTGGGTATTCTGGATTATCGCCATCATGTCTGGTGTGTTATCCTCTGTCTTCTTCTTCGCCTCGGAGGAGACCTACGCACCCGTTATTCTCGCCCGAAAGACGAAGAGACTCCAGAAGGAAACAGGCAACGACCGTCTCCGATCCAAACTCGACGCCGGCCTCAGTCCAGCGGACTACTTTAAGCGCGGTATCCTACGCCCATTCAAGATGCTCCTCTTCTCACCGATCTGCATCATCTGTGGTGTATACGTTGGTCTCGCCTACGCATACCTCTATCTACTCTTCACAAGTCTCACACCACTTTTTATGCGAATTTATCACTTCAACACAGTTCACGCAGGCCTGACGTTCCTTGGTCTTGGTGTGGGTAGTATGATTGGCGTAGCGTACTTTTCTGTCTCGAGCGATAAGTATATGAAGAAGAAGGCTGCAGCTGCTAAGGAACAGGGCATTGACGATCCTGCTGAGTCGATGAGACCTGAGAATCGACTCCCGCCACTGAGAATTGGAGCTGTTTTGCTCCCGGCTGGTTTCTTCATCTACGGATGGACTGCTGAGTATCAAACGCATTGGATTGCGCCCATCCTTGGAACTTGTGTCATTGGTGTCGGAAACCTCGTCATCTTCATGGTAAGTCCATACCCCTCTATCAGAAATAAGACTAACATAGCGCAGTCACTGCAAATGTATCTCATCGACAGCTTCACCGTCTACGCAGCCTCCGCCCTCGCCGCCAACGCTGTCATGCGATCAATTGCCGGTGCATTCCTCCCACTCGCTGGATTGCCAATGTACGACAAACTCGGTATGGGATGGGGAAACAGTCTTCTGGGCTTCATTGCTGCTGCATTGATACCTGCGCCGTGGCTGTTTATCAAGTATGGAGAGCATTTGAGAAAGAAGTTTGAAATCAAGGATCTATAGACCGAAAAGTGGGCAGACGGACGATTCTCAGGCATACATAGAGGGAGTCAGCATTTGTTTTCATAATTATTCACAAAGTCACTTGCATTTTACCCACAGCTTTATTGTCTAAGAGAAACTACTCCCAACCCTCTCTAACGGAAGCGCATATGAGGCGTTCATCACGCGCGCAAACGCATAGCCGTTGGATGCAACTGATGCGGCTCGAGCCGAACCGCCAGGGCCATAAGACAGGAAATGATGACGGAAAGTCGATATCATATGCATAAAGAGGCGTTTTGTTAAAGAAACCTTCCAACATCCCTTGATGTTTTATCACTAATCGACATTTACACAATGTCTACTTCAGCGACTACACATGGACAAACTATGCGCTCTCAATGACCCGATCATACCATAGAAGCGCTATCAAAAGCACCGAAAGTGCCCTGCATCTTGATATCCATCGCATGTAAACTCCAGCGCCTATATCCACTAGACCTGTACCAACATTAACACCATGAGGTCTGCAAAGATCTAGGCTCTTCAACCAGGGTACGAGTAATACCTCGTCAAAGGGCCTCCTAAATTTATCCTAAACTATCCTCGACTTATCTAAGTATCCATGTCCCTTAGGATTGGGTCCCAAACGTTCCATCCCTAGCATCCCCATCTCAAACCGACACTCGCCATCTCAGCATCCCAACCCAGTCACCAAATATGATCTTAAAGGACCGACATTTCACCCCAAACATCACCATCATGCCAGAATCGGTTACCACCGACCTTCTCTCAAATCAGACCACATGTTTGTACACGGACCACAAAAAACATAGACCCATCTCATCATATATCGTATCGTCAGGGGTAAACAATGTACCCTTGAATCGAGAGATCCGGACCCTAGCTCGGAGTCTTTCCATAGCTCAGCCCTTTAATCCTTGGCTGCATGTGTGGGCTACAAAGCTTCGGATAGGCGGGTCGTTAGGGACACATGTGTTGATGCGAGAGATATACTGGATGTTTTACGGCGGGATTTCGGCTTGCAAACCGTAGTACTCTGGATATTGAGTCTCGAAAGCTTTCATGTTATGACAACTGGTTTCACTGAGATTATTCAGACGCATTTCACAGAGACGAGATGATATGATGCAAAGGGACTTGCCCTGTTTATTCCTTTACGTGATTCAGAACTCGTAAACCAGTACCCTAACCTTGGAAACAACCATTGCCCTGTCTATCATTACTAATTTCGCATTAAACAATTCCCCATCACTCCAGGTTTCATCTTTAAGAGACTTTTTATGCTTTACTGAAGCTGACCAATGCCGAGGTGCTCGGGGTCAGCCTTGACGATTCGGAGGGTGTTGGTGTTACCCATGCCGCCCTTCCAGCCCTGGACAACGACAACGGTGTCACCGGGGGTGAGGACGTTGAGCTGAAGAGCGTTGTTGACGGCCCACTTGATTCGGCGATCGACATCCTCCTGCCAGTTAACCTGGGTGAAGTCGGGCTTGGTCTCGGGGAACAGGAAGGGGTACACGCCACGGTACAGATGGGCGAATCGAGATGTTGTGGGGCTTCGGGTGACCATGAAGATGGGGCACACGGGTCGGTACTTGGAAAGCATGCGGGCCGACTCTCCGGAGGTGGAGAGGACAATGATACCACCGGCACCGAGATCGAGGGAAGCGCGGACAGCAGCCATGGCGCAAGACTCGACAGTGCTGACAGGACGCTTGACGAGGGTGCACATCTCCTCGAAGTGGGAGACGTAGGGGATGGTGTTCTCGGCCTTGAGACAAGTCTCGTGCATCTCCTTGACAGCCTCGGAGGGGTAGCTACCCTTGGCTGTCTCACCAGAAAGCATGACACAGTCGGCACCATCAGTGATGGCGTTACCGACGTCGCTGATCTCAGCACGGGTGGGGCGGGGGTTCTTGATCATGGACTCGAGCATCTGAGTAGCGCAGATGACGGGCTTGCCAGCGAGGTTGCACATGGCAATGAGCTTCTTCTGGGCAGCAAACACCTCAGCAGCGGGAATCTCGATACCGAGATCACCACGGGCAACCATGACACCATCAGTGGCCTCGAGGATCTCCTTGAAGTTGTTGAGACCCTGTCGGTTCTCAATCTTGGAGATGATCTGAATGTGCTTGCCCTTCTCGCCGAGGACCTCACGGATGTCATAGATATCCTGAGCGCGGCGGATGAAAGAGGCGAAAACCATGTCGACGTTGTTCTCAACACCGAACTTGAGATCGGCCTTGTCCTTCTCAGAAAGAGCGGGCAGATCGACATCAGTGTTGGGCAGGTTGACACCCTTCTTGGAGCAGATGGCACCGTTGTTGCGCGCCTTGACTCGGATGGTCTTCTCATCCTTGATCTCGAGGACGTCGAAAGCGAGAACACCGTCGTCGACGTAGATGACGCGGCCGGGCTCGATGACGCTGGTGATGTTCTTGTAGTCGACGAACCTGCAAGAGTTAGCTTTAGGAGTTACACCAATTTTATTGTACTCACATGTTCTTGTCGTCGCAGGAAGTGGCATAAGCATCGTCGGTGGTGATGTTCATCTCGTGGCCAGCAGTGATGGGAATATCCTCATCGTTGGGAGTGTTACCCGTTCGGATCTCGGGGCCCTTGGTGTCAAGAGCAATGGCAACATTGCGACCAGCGTGGGTAGCCTCGGACTCACGGGCGTGGTCAATGACAGACTTGTGGTACTCGTATGATCCGTGAGAGAAGTTCATGCGGACAACGTTAAGACCGGAATCTCGGAGCTTGTTGATGGCCTCAACAGAGTTGGTCTTGGGGCCGATGGTGCAGATGATGGAGGAGCGGCGGTAGTTGCGCTGAGGTCGGAAAGCGGTGTCGAGGGAGGCAAGCCATGAGATCTTGCCTCCAAACTCGAGGTGGTCCTGAGCGGTAGCAGCCATGACGCTTTTGGTATGCTTGTGTGAGGGTTTCTGAGCCATTGCGAAAGAAGTGGTTAGCAAGTGTTGTGTAGTGGGTGGAATGAGCTTGGCGGGGTAGCTCTGCTGCAAAAGAATGAAGATTGAGGAATTCAGCCCGGAACAGTTGGAGAAGACGGGAAATATATGTCTCTCAATCAACTGATAATGGCAGCCAACAAGTAGCAGAGCAGAAAGATCAGGTCGTTCTGCGGGCACTTGCTATGCAGGCCAACAGGGATGCATCCGTGAGCTGTAGGCAAATACATGGGGCTAACGTGGATCTGATCTGACGTTAAGTGACGTGGTGGGAAAGGCGATAGCAATGGGGCGTGGCACTTCTCGGTGGGCAGAGCAGTCGGTGCGACACAGTCTGGCTGGCTTGGTTGGCGAGAAGGACAAAAGACGACCCATGAGCTCAATAGATGGGCCGAGTACAGAATCGTCAGATAATCGCTAATCGGGCCAGAAGAACCGAGTCCAAACCCGACACCTTGTCTCGTACTGTCAATGGGTCACAGAGAATGCAGTGTTTCTGAACTGCCCTTGCAACCCAAAAGCCAGAAGCGCATCTGCAAAGACGGGTATATGCCACACCTCCATATCGCTATCGCCATCATTTGGAGGGTCGATAGACTAAACCCCAAAGGCCCAAGCCACAGCAATCGTCTCCATTCATGTGCAGCAACAGCAACAGTAGCAGCAACATGTTGACTTACGGGAGTATATGGATTTTGTTGTACGAATGTTGCACCGTACGATAATAACCCAGAAGGATGATGTGGTCAGAGAGGCAGAGGAACGTGCGCTCTTCCTGGTATTATTTATTGACGACGTTCGATGGAGGGAGCTCGCAAAGGTCGAAGCGTAAGGGGGCGGGAGGGTACTAAAATCTGTTTTTGTCGTTGATAAGAAAAAGGTTGAGAGATGAGAAGGAAGAAAAAAAGAGAAGAAGAGGGAGAGAGGAAGAAATTTGGTGTGGTGATGATGATAATAATAAAGACGGGAGAGCCCAGTTGGCACAGCGTAGTACAGCACAGCGAACCTTCAGGGCAGCCCAAGGTAGGGGGGTACTTTACTCTTGCCTCCCCAATCAACAAAGATTTGTACCTCACCGAGAAATCACAGCCATCATGACTGGAGGGGTCAGAGCCAAGCATGGAGTAGCGCTACGGAGTACTTGCCTCAGATGTACTTAGTACGGTGAATTCATAGCCCGCTTTGGTGAAAGTGTCTGAGCTCCCTCTGTGGTTGAGATACGGAGAGCTTTTTTTTTGCCTTTTTCTTTTTTTCTTTTCTTTTCTGGCGATCTGGTTCAGAAATTATGGGGAGCTGTTCCTTGCACCCCGCTTCCTGTGAGATGCAAGCTTACAGGCCTTGAAGTATATATTTTAGCTTTTGAGTTGATGTGTATGCTCACGATGCTCTAAACTTCTAAGTAGTAATGTATAAAGTGATGTAACTCTATATAACCTTATCATCATATTCTCGAAGTCTCCAATTTGGAGTCATTGTCTTGCCCGCCCTCGTCAAAGTCGTGTAGCTATTTTCTGTTCCCCCACCAAACTCGACCCCGCTATCGCGCTTGGCTTGGGTGTTTGGTGGCTTTTGCCATCCATCAGCATCGTTAAGTTACAGCGGCATATTCGGGGCAAAGCACTCCGCCCGCTACTGCAGCATCCGACAGTAGCTCTCCCTCTACGAACAGTTCTTCCCAACCCCGAATCGGTAATTTATCTATACCTTACCTTGCCACTACTTGGTGATTTATGTTCATATTAGCCAAAACTCAGGTGGGTTATCATATCAAGTGCATTGGCTGTTGTCATGAAACGCGCAAACAAATGTCAATCCCCCGCCACTCATGCTGACCGTAGTTACCTCATCCCTTGACTCAATACCAATTCGTTGAGTAGTGGCAGGGTATTTTGATGGTGGCAACAGAGTCGGAGTTGGAGTCAGAAAGCGCCTAATTTCTAACGAATAAAGTATCGCCCTCTCACCTTGGAAGCATTGGCCTCACCTGAGCTTGTAACGTCTCAACAACAGTCATCAAACTTTGATTGGGCTGAAATGCAAGACCAATCAGTCAATTACTTGCCAGGCATGCTGCTACGA